GAGGAGGAGGAGGAGTAGGAGGAGGAGGAGGAGGCGAAGGAGGAGGAGAAAGAGAGAGGAGGAAGAGGAGGAGGAGGGGGAGGAGGAGGAGGGGGGGAGAGGAGGAGAGGAGAGGAGGAGGAGGAGGAGGAGGAGGAGGAGGAGGAGGAGGAGGAGGAGGAGGACGAGGAGAAGAAACAGGACAGCGCGGGACAGGGGCGGTGGACCAAGAATGGGCAGGGCAGGACAGGGGGTCAGGGAGGGATGGGATGGATGGGGAGGGGAGAAATTGAGAGGGGGGAGTCAGGAAGGGAACGTCCGATGAGAAAAGGCAGTCACGAGAATGGGAGACGGCGGAGGTGGCGGCGACTGGGCAGGAGTGCGGGGAGGACGACGAGGAGGAGGACGAGGAGGATGAGGAGGAGGAGGAGGAGGAGGAGCAGACGGGTGAGAAGGTGGAGGAGTCAGAAGGCCGGATAAGGAGTAGGAGGTGGAGGATGAGGCGGCGGGTCTGGGCTCCTCCCCGCAGGTCCCGCATCCAGAAGGCTGCTGGCCAGAAGCTGGAGGAGATGTCGGTGTCGTGCGAGCTGGCGCACAGCATGGCGCCGATCCTCTCTTTCTCTCGCCGCCCGTGGGTAAGGTTGGGTGCCGCCCTGGAGAACGGCTTCCCGAGTTCCCTGGAGGCCCAGGGAGGCTAAAGTTCAGACAGGCAAAACGGGAGGTCGATGACACAGTGGTGACGTTTGGCGTGTGCAGCCTGTACTCGCTGCCAGAGTCCTTGATTCAGGGGATTCCACGTTTGACCGTTGAAACAGAGCTCAGGCCTTGCAAACCTCTCATTCTCCCGACCCTCCCGTACGCTTCCGGACAACTACAACAGCCACAAGAGTCCCTGCAGGAAGGCGTCGCGCAGGGCCTTGTTGACAGCTCCGCGGAAACGCAGCAGTAACATGTTCTTGCATCATTAATTATCTATCCTCCTCTCCACAACTCCTCCAAAGTCGATGGTCAGAAGGATTGAACAACTTATACAACAGGCCCGTCGCACGACTCAGAGTGGAGGCGGCGAGGCCATCCACAGTGCTAACAAACCGTGCGGTGTGCTTCATCAGCGGGGCCTCGAAGACGGAGTTTGATATCTGGGACGTCCCAGTCACGCCTTCAAGTATCATCCTGGTCGCGCGGAAGCCATCCCTGGCAGTGCCCCCGTCCGAGGGGTAACCCATTGGGACGCCCTGGGAACTCGCCAGAGGGGCCCTTACTTCCCAGACATGCGATGTTTTGTGTTTGTTCCGTGCGGAATCCCTGCAAGTCCCGACCCTTTCCCCAGGGCCGTTGTTTGTCATCCCGGGCAGTTTTCTGACGGCCCCGTAGCCAGGCGAGGGCAGAAAACGGCCAACATCTTCCTGTGGCGATTTGTTTTGCCACGGCGCGAGCATGTCTGGATCATGCCCACGACGGGGGCGTGGCCCACGCCCTCCTCGACGAGCAGGGCCGTTGTGAGCTGGTGCAGTGTACCGGCAGCGAGCGCCTGGCAGCTCGACGTGTTGGCACTCGTGCGGGGGGTCCTCTGCAGCGCAGTATCGCGATATGGCGGATGGCGCTGCAAGACGCCGCCCAGAGGTCGACGAACCATTTCGCCGAGCTGTGCCTGCGGAGGTCTGCGAAAGAGCTTGTGCCGAGCAGCATTTGGACCACGAGCTCCCGTCTCCTTCTCGGCACTCGTCCTAAAGTTCAGGCTTCCCGGCAAGGTGTGGAACAGCAAATCAAGACCGATGGTTGTGTTTGTCGGCGGCGAGCCAGAGGGCGAAATGAGAAGGAGAAAGCCTTCTCAGAAGGCGGCGGGGCTTCTCCGAAGTCCCCGCCCTTCTGAGAAGTGTTCTAAGCCTTCCTCGAAGATACAGATACTTCTCAGAAGGCGCGAGAGCTTCTGAGAAAGCCCGCCGCCTTCTGAGAACGCCTTCTCCTTCACATTTCCCCCCTCGCTCGCCGCCGAGTTTGCAGACAACTTTGGCCAGCAGGGCCTCCCTCTGATCCTTGGCGGCATGGGGATTCTTTTGCCCTTCCAACTTGAACTGGCGTGGGTCGTCCTAGCCGCGGTGGGTTCTGCACGGGCCAAGGTCGCCTACTCCTCGTCCCTCCCCTACCGCCCCCCACAGTTCCAGGGCTCTACCTAAACGCTGTTCTGCTGTGATTTCTAAGTTTTTTTTGCGTGTGCCGCTTTTCGTTCTAAACGAATATTGTTTTTACTGTTCAGCGATTTGTTCAAAACGATGCTGACCGTTTGTCTGGGCGACGCGTTCTGTTGTATGTGTTGTTCGGTTGCGTGCGACGTGCTGTGTTTTGTTGTTGTGTTGTTTGTTTATGTCGCTCCATTTGTGTTGTGTGTTTTTGATGTTGTCCCACTACCGTTCATTCCCCCGTTGCCTCCTCGTACTGCTGCCGACCGCGGCGGTGGCGGACCGCCCACCTCGTCCCCCTCCTCCACCACCTCCTCTTCGTATTTCTGAGCAGCGGTCACGCCTCGTTCTCTACCTCGTCCATTCCCTATCCTCCTTTTTCATTGTCGCCCTTGTTCGCCTCCTCCGCGCCATCATCGCCCTCCCCTCACCCTGTGAGGTGCTGAGTCACTGCCCCAGCTGCGGGCGGTGCGTGCTGTCGAGGGCGGGGTGCGTGGACGACGGGAACACTTCGAGGCTCGCCGAGGAGGCGGAAGAGACGGAGGGGCAGGATGAGCGGCAGGAGAAGGAAGAGGAGGAGGAAGAGGACGAGGAGGAGGAGGGGGTTATAGCCTTCTTAGCTCAAGGCTGCACTGATTGAAGAGCCAGCAGGGGGCCCCGCGTACACAGCCCCTGGGGCCCAGGGACACGCGCTGTCCGCATTCTTGCGTTAAGGGGACCCCAGCCGCTTTATCATCTCGGGTCGTTCTGGACGGCTCCGGGGCCCAACGAGTGCTCCCGGAGGCCGAAAATTGTCAAGAACCTCCCGTCGCGATAGTTTCACGATGCGAGCGTGTCCGGGCACTGAAGACTGTAGTCAGAGGCCAGCGGCACCACACGGTGGCGCTGTGGCGGCGCCGTCGCCGAAGGGCGGCGCCGACGCGGAGCTGGCCCCACTCTGCTTTAGACGGGGCCTTCTGCTACGCAGGACAAGGAGGGGGTGGTCTACCGGATGGTGAAATTGTTCTACCAGACTGTGAAGGCGCCGGCAAAACACAGAGGGTTTGGCGAGTGAAGCGCGAGTCCCTGGGACCGGCAGGAGGAACAGTAAGATGCTTCCCCTTCCGTCTCCTCCCCGCCCCCCCCCCACGTTGATAAAACCGTGTTCGTACTTTGTGTGTGTGCGCGTGTGAGTGTGAGTGTACCACCTCCTTTTTCTACGTTTCTTTGTTATTATATGTTCTTTACTCGTTACTTGGGTGGGCCGTGTTTTCAGATTATGTTGATCACCACTGTGGCAAACGATGTGTGTGTGCGTGTGTGCGCGTGTATGTGCCATCTGCGGTTTCCATCCCATCTCCGTAAACAGTGGAGGCTCACACAACGATTGCTACTGTGGCAGATTTTGATTTTTTACGGATGATTGCAATTTAATACCTTCGGCGGTGGATTAGGTGATAGGTCCCATCTGTCGCAGAATGCAAGAAGACCCCATTGTGCCGGAGAGTGCACAAGGTGCTTTTTGTTGAGATTATACAGGAGCCCAGGATTCCTTTCTGTTGCGGGTTACACAAGGGAGTCGTTTGTGAAGGGTTTTAAGCTGAGCTTCTTTAGCGGCATTACACATGTACTCTTTTCGCGGTGGCCCACACTTAGAAACCTTTCTGTGGCGGTCTACACGTAGGTCCCGTTTTCTGTCGACCTCGAACATGGATTCTTTTTTCTGGTGGCCCAATCGCGAGATCTTTTTCACGGCGGGGCTGTTGGACGATAGGCGGATTGTGTTCATTCGTAGCGACTTGCATCGTGATTCCTTGTCTAGCAGCCTACAAACATAGATTCCTTTCGTGGTGGCTCACATGCTGGTGTTATTTGTCATTTCGGCGTTACGCGTGAAATCTTTATGCGGTGGCATTGACAAATACCCCATGTGTTGCGACTTTAGAAAAATTGTTCGTGTTGTCTGCAGTTCTTTGATTGTGTGGCAGCCTTATTTCCAGGTGTATTATGATATGGTTCACAATCAAATATCATGTGTTGCGGCCTCACATATTAATTCCTCTCGTGACAAGCCCATTTTTCAATATTTTGTCAGTCTGGTGTTTTTTTTGTTTTCCTGCGGGGTCCTTGCAATCCGGTTCATTACTTGGCGTATCACAAGTTGGTTCTCGCCGGCCCATCTGCCGATTACCTCGTGTGGTGGCCTCACAATCCGATTTGTTGTTGCGGCCCGTTCATCTATCCCCCTTCCCTCCTCTACGGACTTCGTCTCTCTCTGTCTCCCGTTTCCATCTTTGCCTCTCCCCCTGCACGATTTCCGTTTTTTCGCCTGTTCACCGGCTGTTTGGGTTATACCTGGCTTCTTTTTCTGATGGGTCGCAAACATGGTCGATTGCAGGTGGCCTTGCAAGTGGGCTCATTCAGCGGTGGATTGCAAGGAAACTTCTTGCATAACGAGCTTTAAAATTATTCTTATTGTTGCGGATTGCAAATATATCCCTCTTGTGGTGGATTACAAATTGATTATTGGCGCGGCGGGTTGCTATTTGATGTTTTGGTTGTGGATGCTAACTGGCTCGTTGTTGCAATTGCCAAGTTACCTTGTTGTGTCACGAATAACGCTTGATTCCCCTTGCGGTGAATTGCACAAGCAGCTCTTCTGCTGCAGCTTACACATGGTTTTTTTGTCGCGAATGATAGCTCGATTCAACGTGTGGCCCGTGCAGTGGATTCGTTGTGTGGCGACCTTAACAAAAGGAAAACGTTTTGTTGCGGTCGCACACAAATCTTCCACGCGGCGCCATCACAGCAAGTATTTGTGGTGGCGGCTTGCAACATCCATTTTCTTGTTGTGCATCCTTGCAAAACAATCCCTTTCGCGGCGGCCTTGCAAAATGATACTTTTGCAACAGTTCACCATGTGTTTTGGCCGCTTACAAAAGCAATGTTCTTGTTGCACACGACAAAACGATTTCTTCGTGGGCAATGATAATTTCATATTTGTGTTGTCAGTTGCAAGCTAATTCTTTCGTGGCGGTATACAAGTTGACTCTTTTGGCGGCCGAAAACACAATAATTCCTTTTGTGGCGAAATACCTCCTCCTTCTCTTTCTCTCGTTGTTCTCCTGCTTTTTCTCCTCATGTAACCTCGCTGCCTCCTGGCCGGGGGCACGCCCGCCGATTTTCCTTGGCGTCGTTGCCGCCGCGGCCAGCATGGGCGCTTGTTCCGATGGCCGGATCGCGAAGCTGTCGGGGCAACCCCGTGGGCTAGGCTTTTTGTAAGACAATCCCGCGAGCTTCTGGGGCGCGGGCACAAGCCGTTGTGACAACCCCGCAGGCGTCGAACCAGTCGCAGACGCGTTCAGGCGGGGGGCAGCGCGAAACCCAGTTCAGCCGCGAGCTGCTCCGCCTGAGTCCTGGCGCTGCCCGCTCTCCCGTCGACCTCCCAGAGCGCCTTTCGCAGGCACGTTGGCTGCCCGCGTTCCAGGAACTCTCGCGTGGGCGGCCGCGGGATCAGCATGTTCCGCACGAGCGTGAGGCGGGATAACATGACGTAGAGTTGCAGCCACCACTGCTCGTCAGACATTTCTCTGCGGCCAGCCCCCTCGTCCCTGGCAGAGTCTATTGTGACGCCCTTGCGCAACGTCTGACCCTGCGACAGCTGGGAGGTCCACTAGTATTCGTGCGTCAGGGTGCACCCCGAGCGCCGCACGGCGAGTGGCCCCGCGCATCGGCTTCGCCGTCGTCGCCAGCACCATCGACGCCTTGCAGCAGCAGCTCGGCGACCTCGTGGTAGATCGGGACCCCTTGAAGCTGTGCATCCCGCGATTGGTAGCGTGGGCAGAAAAGCTGGCGTGGCGCGCCATCCGCGTACTCCCGTTGGTCGTCTGGGTAAAAGTCGACAGAACTTGGGATACAACCCGCGTCCTGGACGCAAGGGTTTCCCCGTGCGCCCGTTTCGGACGCGGATGGATTACCACTGGCGCCCCGGACGCAAGGGTTCCCCCTGCGCCCGATGTGGCCGCACATGAGTTACCACCCGCGTCCCGGACGCAAGGGTTCCCTCCTGAGCCCGATTCGGCCGTGGATGTGTTACCATCGGCGCCCTCGACTCAAGGGTTTCCCCCCTTGTGCCCGGCCGCCGCCGTCTTCCGAAAATCCTGTTTATATGTGTCGTCTTCTTCCGACGGTTCGATAGCGTGGCTTGCGAGAGAGTTCGCATCACCTTTCGTCTGGTCTTTGCTTTCCGATGGTGTCGCACGGCAAAAGAGCGCAACAGTGAGGACTTCCGATGACCCGCCATGATTGCCAACGTGAGCGTCATTCGCTCACAGACGAACCTCCCGCTCGAGACTTCCAACGTATGACTGGTTGTAATCAAGTGCTTCGCCTGGCAGAGTTTACCGATGGCCCGCTCGGATTAGTAACATGAAGCGCGTGCCCAATAGGATGGGCATCCCCGCGTGAGAATGTTTCGCGCTTCCGTCACAGACGAGGCGCCCGCGTGAGAAACCCTCGCGATGCGCCTCCCTCGGGGTGCTGAGGTGTCATGCGTGGTAGACATTGTCGATGACCCGCTTGGATTCGTAACATGAAGTGCGGGCACAAGAAGGGGGGGGGGCTCCAGCTCCAGAATTTGTCGCCAATCACTCACCTGACAAAACTCCCGCGTGAGACATCTTCACGATTCGCCTCCTTGGGGTATTCAAGTGTTCTGCCTGGTACAATGCACCGATGACCCGCTCATATTAGTAACGTGAAGTGCGGCTCCCATAAGAAAGGGTTCCCGCTTGACACGTCTTTCGAAACATCTTCACGAGTTGCCCCTTGGCAGCGTTTGCCGATGACCCGGAAGGAATCGTAACATGATGTGCGGGTACCACAAGAAGGAGGTACCAGCTTGAGAATTCTTCGCGATTCGCTCATCAAACGAAGCCCCCGTTTGGACCGGATGGCACGATCGGATTGTGAACCTGAGATGGGGACCCCATAAAGAACGGCGCGTGGCGGTGATGTTGATAATGAATGACGAGGAGGAGGAGGAGGAGGAGGAGGGAAGCACGAGGTAGAAAAGGTGAAGGGAATAAGGAAAAGGAAGAGTACGTGAGTATGGCAGTGTGGGAGTGATGATGGTGATGGTGATGATGATGAATGATACTGGTATTCATGATGTTGACGGTGACAGTGTGGGAACATGGTGCGGTAATGATGATGGTGTGATGATGATGATGATGATGACGGTGATGGTGGTGATGATGATGATGTGGGGGTATGATCGTTCCTGCGTAGGGGGTGCCAGAGAAAACAATAAGCCCATTTAGGATGCGGGGAAAACCAACACACAAAAACATTGCAACATATGAGCAGTCCAGCCCGCATGCTGTGAGCCAGAAGATAATGTTACACAACGCGCACACAACAGAAGATCACACTCACATGCGCAACACTTTCCTACACTTGGATGGAAACACCGTCTGGAATCTAGAACACAGCATTGTGTTGTACACCGCGCGAACAACACACTGGTTTCAGACTGGGTTTCAACGAGCTGGGGCACGCTGCGCATGACATGGTGTTGGCATCCACGTGTAAGAACGTGACGTGTTCTTGTAGCATGCCTTTCTGATCCCACTGCATTGAAGTATCAGTGAAAGCTTGTTTTTCGCATAATTCACCATGTGATCAATGTTATCATTGTTCTTGTGTCCCGTCGGTCACCACGGGGCAGGTCCACACAAGGAATCAGTTTGCAATCCGCCACAACATGGGTCTTCTGGTAATCCGCCGCAAAGGGGGTCCGATTGTAACCCGCCACAGAAAGAATCATCCTGCCATCCGCCACATGTGGAATCCTTGGGTAATCCGCCACATAAGGAATCGTTTCGTAATCCGCCACAAGTGGAATACCTTGGTTCATCGGCAAGAGAAGGGATCAATTCGTATTCCGCCACACAAGGGATTGATGTGCAATCGACGGTAAAAGAAATTAGCTTGTAATTAGTTACATAAGGATGTGTGCTTTACAGCTTGCCACAAAAAGGATCAACTTGTAATCGGTCATAGAAGGAAACAATTTGTTATCGAAACAAAGGTTTCGCTTCCGCAACGGAATCGATGGCGTTGCATCAGGAACGACGGATTCGTGATCTGATATTGTAGCACAAGAAACATCAATAGAGCCAGAATAACACGAATGGCATGCAAAACTAAACCTTATCAAACATGCAGAAGCACAAAGGATGTAGTAAACACGCACAGTTCTATCAACAATACACGCCTCCGTTTCCCATCCATGCGAGCCTATCCTTCGACCACGGCCCTGGGTAAAGTACTCGGGGAACTATCAACAGAAGCTTCCGCCGAGATCGAAGCGAGGCCGATGTACTGCCCAGAGTAACGAAACACATTACGTCCAGCGCCAAGCCATGAGATGTTGGCCACGAAGCTCTTGTGTGTTCGCTCTTTCTTTCAGACCCTCGGCCAGGGGGGGATCGCCGATCAGAGGGCCATGGGGTGGCCCCGAAGCGGGGGGTTGGTTGGCGGGGCCTCGGGTTGTTCGACTACACGTGGGGCGTTCCAGACAGGGCCTTACCTTCGCGAATCTCGGCGGAAGGGCGGCGGAAGGTCGGTGGAAGTAAAACGAGACCGTCTCCGCCGGCGGAAGCCAGCGGAAGGGCGACGGAACGCGGACGAAGTAACAGATGCACCCCCAAAAGATGAGAACATGTTTGGGTTCAGGGCTTCCGGAATCAAAACGTAAGAGTGGCTTTTCGCTGGAGTGACCTGTGGTGCGGGCCCAATCGGGCCTCCCGATCGTTGAATGCGATGCAGTAGCAGCGGCTTGCGCGCCTGGCGGTGCCCCCCAAAACCTCCCCTCGGCAGCGCACCAACCTGGGGTCACTCTTGCGTGCAGCCGAGTTGTTGCCGGGGCCGCGCATGGACCGCCGACATCGTGGCAAGGTCACGGCCGGAGCTACGGACCCCAGTGCTCGCCCGTGACTGCGCGAAGTGGTTCGCTCCTCCGAGGGCCCCCGTCGCCCGCACTGGGCCAGAATTTCCCGTCGTTGTTCCTTCCCGCGCGATGCCATGCGCTGTCCTGTCGCACTGTCGGGGCATGTTTCACGCGCCGATGACATTCTGGGCGGAGCGACTCGCGGAAAGCGCGGTCGCCCCCTCTCCTGCACAGTTCTCGGAGGCAGGCCACCGCCCTCATGGAAAAAATCTCCTGGGGAGGCTTGTCCAAGGGGGGGGAGTCTGGGGGTGGTTGTCCAGATCCTTGCGGGATTGTCCAAGGGTCGGGGGTGGATAGAATCCCCACCCTGACACGTCGACTAGTGAATTGTCCGTTTTCGGCTCTCGAGAGGGCGCCGCGGCCGTCATTTTCCGGTCTTGCGCCCGCCAAGTTTGGGCTTGAGGTCGCTTTCACTAAACCACGTTGAACTAAAGGGGATCCTGCCCATCCCCGAAAGGCATTGTCCGGGCCGAGTTGTCTTGCCAGCAAGTGCACATGTCCATTATCATACATACCATCAAAAGCGTGGCACAACCAGGGAAGCCCAGCTGGAAGCGTCGCTTCTCTTTCCCCCTTCCCCTACAGTCCGTTCCTTATCTGTCGCGCCCCCCTTTCCGCTCCCATTCGCGCGCCCTCTACCGCGCTTCCCCAAGCAGCTGTGCTGACTGGCGTCCTCTTCCGGCAGAAGCCAGTTCTGGCCAAGGGGCCAGCGCACAGAGACAACCGCCAACATCGGGGGTGGTCCGGCCAGTTTCGTCAGAGACAACCTCGCAGTTCTGGGTTCAGAGATGACCTGAACTGAGGTGGTATGGTCAGTTTGGCCTGAAACATCCTTGCAATTCTGGGAACGGAAACGCCAGCGTCCCCGCATCTCTGGGCTGGGAGATGCAGCGCGCGAGGTGGTCCAGCCAGTTTCGCCAGTGGGCATCTCGGAGGGGATGTCCGGATTGTCCCGAGGGTCGTCTGGGGAATTTGTCATAAGATGCTTCCTCAGGAGATCGGGGCTCCCTTTCTGGTAACCCCAGCTGCATGGCCTCAACAGGCTCACCCCCCCGAGTAGACCGGAGCGGTTTCGGCCCCACCCCCCGCGCCGCCTCCAGCGGCGCCCCCCGAGCGTTCAGCACCCCAAGCCATGGACGTTGAGAAAGCCCTGGACTACGCGGGGGCCTGTTGAAACCAGCTGGAGCTACCTGGGGGGGGGTACCCAGCCCCAAACCTTAGCAGTCCCCTTCATCGTCCGCTTCTCTCCTCCTCCTCCTCCTCCTCCTCCTCCTCCTCAACCTCCTCCTCCCCCTTCGCCTCCTCCTCCTCCTCCTCCTCCTCCTCCGCTTTTTGCTTCCCTTGCGAGTGGAGTCGACCCGACTGCGCTCCGCCTGCCCACCGTCTTCCGTTCGGGCTCCGAGCGCGGCTCTCGGCCTCTCTCTCTCTTTCCCGCCGCCGGCGGCAGGAGCCGACGACGAGGAGCAGACGACGGCAAACACAGAGTCAGGACGGCGAGGTGGCGACGGCGAGGAGGTTGCCAAGACAGCGGCAGCGGCGACCAGGAGAAGATTGGGACGACGTCGGCGACGACGTCGGCGACGACGGCGTCGACGAGGACGACGACGCCTACGACGACGTCGCCGACGACGGCAAGAGAGCCCACCACCACGACGAGCGAGAGAACAGACGACGGCTCAGGCGACGACGACGACGACGACGACGACGACGACGACGACGACGACGACGACGACGGCGACGAGGACGGCGACGACGACGACGGCCACCACCAACACGACGACGACGGCGACGACGACGACGACGACGACGACGACGACGACGACGACGACGGCCACGCGCCGCCCAGCGCGGCAGCCGACGGCGGTGCCGCCGCGCCCGCGGCCTCGGAGCCGGCCTCGGCCGCGGAGGACCCCCCCTATTCGCGCAGGGAGGGAGGCTCGGCCCCAGTGCTCACGCAGCGGCGAAGCGTCCTGGCTCGCCTATACAGTAGGGGTCTTGAAGAAGGAACCCTTCTCGTTGGGGAGGGGCTCCGCGTTCCTTAAGTGTTTCGCAGCTTGTCTTGGGTTTTCCGTAGGTTTTCGATATGAAATCGAGTTTTAACTTATGGAAAAAAGGGGCCTCGTTCCTTATTTAGGGTTCCTTAGGTCAAGGCCCCGACTGTAGGCCTACCAAACAATGTTCTAAGAGCCTTTTGCGGCTTCCACGACATTGTTTTGCTTGCACACGTCGGGCTCATGTTCTAAGAACCTCGTTTTTGTGCTTCGATCATGCATGGGTTCTGAGAACATTCCGTGGTAGGACTATAGAAATGCCGGGACTGTCGGTCCCTGCTCAAAGTGCAGTCGCGAGCTCGAGCCGGGCGGGCCCCAGAGCGCAGGCGGGAGGCCATTGGAAGGCCAGCGGAAGGCCAGCGTCCGCTGCACTTGGGCGTGGCACTTCGCCGGGGTGACACGCGAGAGCGACCCCCTCGCCGGGGGGACCTGCGGTGCGCCGCTGCCGGGTTCGGGACCAGGCCCAGGTGCAATCCAGAGTTCGGGAGGCTTGGCCCCAGTGCAGCCGAGAGCTCGGGCCCGGCGGGCCCTGGAGAGCAGGCGGAAGGCCGGCGGGAGGCAAGTGTCTCCGGGGGCAGCCAGGAGGGGGGCGTTGATTGTAGGGGGGAGGGGGGGGGGGACATCATGGCCGGGCTCTCTCCCTTCTTGGCCGACGTTGCCCCTCTGGCCCCCTCCTCTCAGCTCGTGGCGCCCTCGTCTTCCTGGCTCGAGGCGTCTCCTGGCCCACTCCTGGTCCGCACACCTGCCTCGGGCCTCTCCGGCCGCGGCTCGCGCGGCCCCTTCGCCACGGCGCCCCCTGCGCGGACGCCCCCGAGCGCCGGCTGCACGCGGGGGTGGCCCTTCGCCGGAGTTGCCTCTGGTGCTATAGCCTCTGGTGCGCGGCTGTCGGGGAGAGCTGGGCCCAAGCATGGGAGGGCGGAGGAGCGATACCAGCACCACCCAGGGGGCCCACCGCCAGCTAGGACGTCCACGATGCCTCTCCGAGCTGGAGGCTGGGGATGTCTCTAAGCGAGAGGGGGGGGGGCCACACCACCAGGGAGTTCCCCCATGCCTCCTCGCAGCTCCTCGCCCTGTTGGTGTTGGTGTCGCCTTTCCTTGTTCCTACAAGCAGGCATGCCGCTACGGTCGCATCGCTTGCAGCGATCGTCCAGCCGCGCACCAACGGTCATGCTTGCCTGGGGTCACTCCTGCCTGGGGCTGGCACTGAGAGTCGGCGGAAGGCCAGCGGGAGCCAGCGGACGTAAAACGGAGGCGTCTCCGCCGGCGAAGCCGGCGGGAGTAAAGCATGCACCCCAACGAGATACAGTTTGAGGGGATCCAGAGTTTCAAGAACGAGCTTTGGCCAAGCATGTAGCATGTTGGGGCTGGCAAGGGTGTTTTCAAGGTCCTTTAGGATGTCCGAAGTAGGCAAAAAAACAGATCTACAGGCTCCCTTGTATCGTTGATGTTGCACGCATCGTGAGGATGTCTTGGGGAGGCCGGAGAAAGCTACAACAGCGTCACAACCAAACCATGCACATGCACAGCTTGCCCTCCAGCAGTCAGCACGTGCAAAGACGTAACTCAAGGAGGGGGCGGAGGGAGCGTATGGGAGGGAGGGAGATAGGGGAATAAGGGATAAGACAGGGCGGCGGACCATCGTCCCATCAGCCCTTCAGGCGTTGAGATCGTAACTCAATCAGCCGTTGAGGCACCACTGCCTTCCTTCATGGTGCACGCGCTATGTGGAACCCGCGCCTCGCCCAACCCCGTTTTTCGTCCACCGACAGCTACAACGTGAGCGAGGAACGGCAACCGGTAGAGGAGATGACCAGGATGGTGGCGATGAGAGTGCCCCCGTCAGCCCCTGGAGGCCCGCTCTCCATTTCGATCCCATCGATCCGACCTGGTGCATTTATTCATATCTATATGTATATATATACATAGATATGAATGGTTACATACGCTTCTTTTTCGATGAATATATGTATATACACACATTCGGCTAGCCCGATCCGGTCGGAGTTTTCGATACTCAGACAACCCTCTGCGGCTCAACGCTGGCACCGCGCTGCTCTGCAGCTTGGCGCCGCCGACCTGCTCCGGCCTCCGACTCCGCGCCGCTTCCGGCCTCCGGTCCGACGCCCGCTCCGACCCGATCCGAGCCGTCGCTATCCGATGCCGGCCGGACGGGGCCAGGACTACAGTGAGGAGGCGAAAACCCACCCCCACCCCGAGTCCCAACGCCCACCCCCGAGACCGCGATCCAGGGGGTCGGGACTGGGGGTGGGGGCGGGTTTTCTCCATTCCTGAACCCCGAAACCCACCCCCACCCCCAGTCCCGACCCCCTGGATCGCGGGTTCGGAAATGGGGTCGGGACTGGGGGTGGGGGTGGGTTTTCGCCTTCTCATACAGTGGAGACCCATGCCAAGAAACACCCTGCTCGCCTCCAGGGTGCCCTGGGTTTCTTGGGTTTCGAGGGTTTTGCGGCGGAAGGCGCGAAGCTCCCACACCAGAAATCCGTGGACCTCCTGGGTCTCAGGGTTGGGCTCCTTGAAGAAGGTTTCTTGTGGAATGGCTCCTACTGTCGATCCGATGCTGGTCGGACGGGGCCATGACGCCATGACTCACTCTACGGCAGGTTCGCGTCTTGTCGACCGGCGGCGACCCCAGCGCAGGCGTTCAAGGTCAAACGCCGCCCGTGGCCCAGAATCGGCCCGTCGTTGAGCGCTCCCCGGCCTTTTCGAAAGGGCCGATCGTTCAAGTTTGAACGATCCCCGCTGTGTCAGGAGACAACCCCGGGGTCGGCACGACGCAAACCTGCCGTAAGCCTTCCAGATGGGGTCGGAGTAGATGGGGTCGGAGGAACGAACCGCATCGCCGATGCATCGCTGATGCGGGTCGATGCGGAACCTGATTTGCTTCACGCCGACGTCGCCGATGCACCGCCGACATCGACGATTCATTGCCGGTGCATCGCCGATGCATCGCCGATGCACTGGCGATGTATTGGCGATGCGGCGCAATCCTCCGACCCTATCTACTCCGACCCCATCTGGGAGGCCTCTATAAGACGAGGACCAATCCGTCCCAGAGCGTTCGGGAACGCTCTCAGGGCCATGAGATCTCCCCAGATGCCGTGGCGCCGCTCCTTGTTCTGATACGGCCCCCCCTGGGCCGCGCACATGCCTCGAGACATGTTTTGCGAGCCCCCCTCCTTGGACGCCCCCGACAACGGCAGCTGGCCTTCGGGGTGGCCCCTCGTCGCCGCTGCTCGGAGACCTGGGGCGCTTGGACCCTGGGAGGGCTCCGGGGACCGATTTTGAGCTGCCGTTGTCTCAACTCCGGACAGGGCCAGGACGAGGATGAATCCGTCCCAGAGCGTCCTGGAACGCTCTCTCAGAGCGGTCCGGAACGCTCCGAGAGGGCCGCGGCGCCCGAGACATCCTCACCCGATCTTCTCCTGAGAGCCGAGGCGCTCTGAGAGCCGGCAGATCTCAAAGATTCTCGGATCATCCCCACCCGCCGTCTTCCTCGCCCTGGCTTCGCCTCACCGCTCCGGCGCCCGCTCCGGCCCGATCCGCGCAGTGGATCCGACCCCAGAGATCCGATGTCGCGATTTTTGTCCATGCGCGGTCCCCGGCAGTTTTGTTCCGTTCCCCAGGATCGGTCTTTCATCCTCAGCCGTCTTTTGACGGTCCCGAGGCACGGCGAGGGCCCCTAATAGGGGCCGAAGTCTGCAAAAAGAAACCTCCGTCTTGATTTTTCTTCAACGCGCTGGCTCTCTGGCGCGCCCGCCGCCCAGCTGCCCGCCGCCCCGCTGCCCGCCGCCCCCGCGGGCAGGACGACGCCACCGCCAGCGCCACGGCCTCCCCGGAGCAGCCGACGACGAGCGCCGCCGCAGCCCCTGCCGACGCGACGACGGAGAGCCCGGGCGCGGCGGCGGCCGCCGGCGAGGAGGGCGCCGGCCGCGCGGCTGCGCGCGCGGCCGCGGGGATCGGCGGGCAAGAGCTACTCCAGATTTCGTAAGAAAAGGGAGGGGGGGTCTGGACCCTCCAAGACAAGCCATTTCAGACCCTCCCCCGTGGGAGAAGCCTCCAAAACATCGTCCCCAGGCCCCCCAGGCCCTCCAAGACAGCCTGGAAGAGACACCCCCCGAAATGATACCCCCCTCCCTTTACTACGAAATCTGGAGTACACACCAACACCCATCCTGGCCAGGATCTCACACTGAGCTCAGGATCGGTGCATGAGCGCCTTCCTGCCTTCTCTCAGGAGAAGCCATATATATACACACACACACCGACCCTGGGCCCAGGAGCGGCCGGGCCAGGATCGGTGTGGGTGGATAGTTGGTGCCTCCGATGGGAGGGCAGGGGGGGCAGGCATCGCGAAGCAGAAGAAGAAGAAGAAGAGGCTCAGAGGAGGGCGCGTTAAGACAACGTCGGGGGCGGCCAAGATGGGGGTGATGACTAGGTGTGTGGAGGGGGGGGGGGGAAGTGTTTTGTGTGTTGTGTGTTGTGTGTTTGTCTGTTTGTCTGCGTGTCTGTGTGTCTGTGTCTGTGTCTGTGTCTGTGTCTGTGTCTGTGTGTGTGGATATCATGGCCAGGGCCATGATATCTCCCCAGATGCCGTGGCGCCGCTCCTTGTTCTGATACGGCCCCCCCTGGGCCGCGCACATGCCTCGAGACATGTTCTGCGAGCCCCCCTCCTTGGACGCCCCCGACAACGGCAGCTGGCCTTCGGGGTGGCCCCTCGTCGCCGCTGCTCGGAGACCTGGGGCGCTTGGACCCTGGGAGGGCTCCGGGGACCGATTTTGAGCTGCCGTCGTCTCAACTCCGGACAGGGCCAGGACGAGGATGAATCCGTCCCAGAGCATCCTGGAACGCTCTCTCAGAGCGGTCCGGAACGCTCCGAGAGGGCCGCGGCGCCCGAGACATCTTCCTGAGCCGCCGGGTATTTCTCGAGTTACACCCACCCGGATGGATCCTCGTCCTGGCTTCGTGCCCTGCTCCGAAAAGCGGCATGAGGTCAGAGTTGTCTTGGCTTCGTGCTCCTGGCTTCGTGTTGTCAAGGTGCGCGCGGATTTCTTGGATCTGCGCTGCGCCAGAGCCCCATCCCCCCGGGGCGCCTCGAGCAGGCCTCCAGCGCAGGTCCGAGAGATCTGCGTGGTCTTTGGGAGATCTTAGCTGCTCCGAGGAGCCCGTCTTGGAGCGCAGCACGTGCCGCGTGCAGAACGTCCGTGTCGACACGCTGCGTGCTGGCTCCACGTGCTGGCCAACGTTCTGGCGAACGTGCCGCGCCAGGCGTCCGTTTCCGATCTGCGCGTGGAGCTCCGTATCCACGCGCTGCCGGTTGCGTGTGGCGCATCGGGGCAGCTAAGGCGAAGATGTGTGTGTGTGTGTGTTTGTGCAGCTTCTGCTGTTTCTGAGACATACCTCTATAGGCCTAGGATTAGATGGGGCCGGAGGATCGATTAGGTGGGGCCGGAGGTTGCTTCTGCATCCATGGGGTCGGAGTAGATGGGGCCGGAGGATCGAACCGCATCGCCGATGCATCGGCGATGCGGTTCGATGCGGAGCCCGATTTGCGTCACGCCGACGTGGCTGATTCGCCGCCGACGTCGCCGATGCATCTGTGATGCATCGCCAATGCAGCGCAGTCCTCCGACCCCACACAGATTGACTGCCTATCGAGGGTGCGAGAGCCTGATTGCTGGGCTCCGCGCGCTGGCTGCCCTAACTAATCAACGGAGCGGGGCCCGCTCGCTGCCCGTGGGCGGCCTCCCGCGGGCCCCGGCGAGGCACGCCCCTTGCAGCAAGCTCAGCTCGCTCCCCTCGTCGGCGCAGGGGCCGGCCGAGGTGGGCGGGTGCGCACACGGCCTGTGGGCCCAGGCCATGGCAGGCCTCAGGCCCGTGCCACCCCCGCCTCCCAGCCGTGAGTGAGGTGGGGCTCCCCGCGTGCTCTGCTGGCTGCGTTGGCCAGCAGAGCCCGCCCAGATCTGGGCTGCGGTCAGCTCTGAGCCCTGGGCTGCTCCCGCCTGAGCGACGTAGAGATAGCGCCGCCGATCGTGCGGCCAGGGCACTGGCGCGCAAGCTGGCCGCGCAACGTCGCGCGCCAGCGCCCCTCTCTCTCCACCCGTTGTGCCACGCCGGCTGCCTGCGCAAGCCACCGCGTAGGTTTTCGACCTTCTCGCGCGCAGCTCCCCTCTGTCTTCGTCGCGCACCTTCTCCCAGAGAGATGAGCAGAGCTGCCGCTGCGCAGGAGCCGCCGACCCAGACCGAGGAGCCCGTCGACGACGATCCTCGCTGGGAGCGGACGCGCCCTCAGCCGGGCCCTGGGGAGGCGGATCGCAAAAAAAACGAAGGATTGCAAAAAAACCGAAGGATTGCAAAAAAACCTAGGATTGTAAAAAACCCAGGATTGCAAAAAAAAACCCAGGATTGCAATCCTTGGGTTTTTTTGCAATCCTTGGTTTTTTTGCAATCCTTTGTTTGCCCGCATGCCAGGAAGCCGGATGCACATGACATGGCAGGCCTGGGCGAACACAGGAGACACCTGTTCAGCAGGGGAAGAGCACACGCGGACACAACGAGTCGTCGATCCCAAGGAGGAAGATGTCGGAAAATAACGGGAGTGGGGGGGGGAGACGAAAATCCAGAAAATATGAGAAAACATGGGGAATCTTAGGATTTGTGTGTATCTATTTGTATGAACCTGGGCCGCTTCGCATGTGTCCGCGCGTCTCTCCAGCGCTCGAGCCTCGTGTGGCCAGACGCGCCAGCCCTCCGCAGGTTGTGCATCCAGCGCGTGACCTCCGCAGGCTCCCAGGCTCTGTTGCACCGGGCCCGCCAGCAGCGTGCGACATGGGATGGGTTCGTTAGAGCGGGGGGCTCGGGAAGGAAGGGGTGCTCTGGAGCTGCGGAAAGCCAAAGGGTGTTGCTCGCTGTGGAGCTTGAGATACAATTAGCTTCTAAGCGGATGACTCGTAAAAACGTGTGAGGCTGGATGTGCCCATGGTTGTGTTTACGTGAAAACGACGTTCAAGTTGCATCGCGAGGCGGAAGTGCTTTTCTGCCCCGCGGGAGAGCTGGCGGGAGAGGGCCGGCGGGTGCAGCCAGCGAAGGCGCCGTTGTGACTGGCGGAGGTAAGGGTTGCCCTCCCGAGGGTTAGCCAGCTTCTTTTTTGGGAGTGCAGTCAGGAGCGACCAATGGACGTAAACGTACACACATCCGCGTTAGTTTCGAGAGTACGCATTGCGCGAACGTTCGTATCACGCGGCGGGTCTCGCGTATTGGGGGGCCGAACCCGCGATGCGTGTTGCCAGCTTTCGGGGGGGAGATCGACTACAGAAGGGATTTACCCCAGAATTGATCTGTCCCTGGAATCTACAAGAGCAGGAGCTGGATGCTCCGCAGATCGACAAGGGGTAGTTCTTCGCCTTCCCCGTAGTCTCGGTAAAACAAGGAGTTCTCGGGTACATCAGTCCTGTAGTCGAGCACCTTCTCGAAGTTTCCCCGGATGATGTGTGTGCGTGTGTGCATGTGTGTCTGCATGCGTGTGTGTGTGTGTGCGTGTGTAAGTGTAAGTGTAAGTGTGTGTGTAAGTGTGTAAGTGTGTGTGTGTGTGAGTGCGTGCGTGCGGGTGTGTGTGTGTGTGGTTGTGTAAGTGTGTGTGTGTGTGTGTGTGTTTGTGGGTTTGTGTAAGTGTGTGTGTGTATGCGTGCGTGCGTGTGTGTGTGTGTGTGTGTGAGAGTGTGTGTGTGTGTTTGTGCAAGTGTGTGTGTGTGTGTGTGTGTGTGTCTCTGTGTTTGCGTGTCTGGGCTCTCGCCCTTCCGCCCTCTGCGCCCTCGCCGCCTGCGCCCGGGCACGCGTCTGTCACGGTGGATCCGGCAGGGGTCCCCGCACGCTCTGGGAAAGCCCACCGCGCACGCGCGCGCGCGCCCGTTCGTTGACGTTCTCCGCCTCGACGCTGCGTGGGAGGTCGCGAACGCCCAAAGGAGGTGTGCGTGTGTGTGTGTGCGCGTGTGTGCGTGTGTGTGTGTGGTTGTGTGTGAGTGTGTCTGTGTGTGTGGTGTTGTGCGCTGTGTGTTGCGCGTTGCGTGTTGTATGTTGCGTGCGTGTTGTCTGGTGTGTGTGTGTGTGTGTTGTGTGTTGTGTGTGTGTTGTGTTTTGTGTGCTGCATGATGTGTGCTTTGTGGTGTGTGCTGTGTGCTGTGTGTTATGTTTTCTGTGTGTGTGTTGTGTGTGGTGTGGTGTGGTGTGGTGTGTTGTGATTTGTTTGGTGTGGTGCGGTGTGGCGTGTGTGTGTGTGTGTGTGTGTTGTGTGTGTTGTGTGTGTTGTGTGTGTGTGTTGTGTGTGCTTGTGTGTGAGCGTGTGTGTGGGCGCGCGTTTGTGGGTGTGTGTCTGTGTGTGCCTGTGCGTCTGTGTCTCTATAATTATGTGTCTGTTTCTCTTCCTGTGCCTACGTCTGAACCCCTGTCGGTGTCTGTGTCTGTGTCTTCGTCTGTGCCTGTGCCCGTGTCTGTGTCTGTGTCTGTGTGTCTGTGTGTCTGCCCGTGCGTGCGTGTGTGCGTGTGTCTGTGTCTGTGTGTGTGGTGTGTCCGTGTGTGCGTGTGTCCGTGTCTGTGTCTGTGTCTGTGTGTGTTTGTGTGTTTGTGTTTGTGTGTGTGTGGGTGCGTGCGTGCGTGCGTGCGTGCGTGTGTGTGTATGTGTGTCGGTGTGTCTGTGTGTCTGTGAATCTGTGTGTCTGCGTCTGTGTGTTTGTGTGTGCGTGTGCGTATGCGTATGTGTGTGTGTGTTTGCGTGTATGTGTGTGGGTGTGGGTGGGGGGGGTGTTGGGGGGGGGGGGAGGAGGAGGGGGTTGTGTGTTGTGTGTGTGTGCGTGTATGTGTGAGTGTGGAGGGGGGTAGGGGGGAGCGGTCGCGGCGCTCCCGACCTCTCGGCTCCTGATCATCCTTGCAGCAGCCGGGAGGGAGTCTGCCGCGAATCGCTGCAGAGTGCACACATTCCTCGAGAGATGTTGCGGTCCCCTTTTTCCTCTACTTCCTCTTTCTCCCCAAAACAGATCGAGGAAGGACGAGGAGAAGGAGGAGGAGGAGGAGGCGGAACGATGGGGAACGTTGAAGTTGATGATGGCGAGGAGGGCACTGACGATGAGGATAAGGAAGGTGAATGGTAAAAGGAGGAGGGGGGGAGGAGGGGAAGTTTGGTGAAGAGCAGCAGGAGGGAGGAGGATGAGCATGCGCACGACAGAGCAGCGAAGGAGCTGCATGGATAGGGGGAGGCGGACCAGGGTGGGAGGAGGAGAAGGAGGAGGAGGAGGAGAAGGCGGTCTTGTCTGAGGAGGAGGAGGAGGAGGAGGAGGAGGAGAAGGAGAAGGAAGGCGCCGGCGCAGGGATGGTTAAGCTGGGAAGAGCTTGGAGAGAGCAGGACAATGAATCATGAAGAGGACGGGAGGGCGGAAGGGGGAGGAGCGATGAGTCAGAGGAGGATGCATGGAGGGGCAGCAGCAGCAGGAAGAGGAACGACGGAGGAGCAAGAGGAGGAGGAGGAGGAGGAGGAGGAGGAGGAGGAGGAGAAGGCGGGATGAGTTGGAGGAGGGAGGAGGACGTCCGATGATCGCTGTCCCATCGCCTCCCAGTGGATGTTCGATGTTGCCCGGTGTTCGAGCCACGCTCGAGGTTGCTCGATCGGCAGGCGCCTGCGAGGACGATCGGGAGGTGGGGGGGCAGGGGCAGCAGCGAGTGGGCGCTGAAGCCGCAGGAGCACAACGAAAAACGGCCGAGCTCGGGCCGAGCCGACCTCCAGAACCGATCAGAAACAAAAAAATACAAAAAGGGAGAGAACGCGAGACATCAGCAAGAAAATAACACAGGAAACGTGCATCGCACCAATCTCCTGCACGTGTCGCGCTGGACACATGCACGCAGTTTGGACTTCACGCAACGCGTGTGCGGAGACGGGGCACATCGGCGAGCACACGTCGCTTCTGAGCGTCGACTGGCGCGTGCCTCCCGGATCCCCCAGGGCAGTTTGGGCCGAGAGCTCGGGGGGCCCGCGGAGGGAGCAAGAGTCAGAGGTGAGGCGGGGCGTAGTCGCGGCCGGCTTCTTCGCCCCAGTCCCGAGCTCCCGACCGAGAATCAGGCCGGCCGCTCAGAAAAGAGGGGGGACTGCGGGGATGCATCCCAGGGGGCTGTTCGGACGCACTGCGTTTGAGGATGGATGCCGTTCCCCCGACATTGGCCCCAATTTTCCATCCGACAAGTCACGGAGCCGAGGATTGGGGTCCCCACACCTCCTGTTACGTAGGGGCCCCACGGGATGGGCGGGATGGGGCAGGGGGAAGAGGAGGGAACGGTGGTGAGGGGAGGGATTTGACGTTCACGGCTGGACCCCGAGAAGGCGGGCAAGCCGTGTCAGGCTCTGCGGTGGCCCCCAGTCTCTTCGGAGCGGGGAGAAAGTCAGGAGGGAAAGACACACACAGACACAATGAATCGTCGACTCCCAGGAAAATATGGAAAATATTGGGAGTTGGGGGGAAGACAAAAACCCAGAAAATATGAGAAAATATGGGGAATCATGTTATTTGGGTGTATTTATTTGTGTGTCCCAGGGCCCTTTCAGAAAGGGGGGGGCCAAGGGGGCAGAACGCGGAGGAGCATGCAGCGGGGACAGGAGGACAGGGGTGGAAAGGACGAGGCGGCGGGAGGACGAGGCACCCCCTCCATCTCCACCCTCCCCCCACTCTCCTCCACTTCCACCTCCTCGTGCCCCACCTCCAACATGGAAGCAGCAGGGTGCCAGTGCCTTGGCTGATGGACCCATACAGCGCGGAGTGCTGGTGAAACCTGGTCACGCCCTCAACTCGGAGGAGCCCGGGCACGAAGCGGGCGAATCACGGTTAGGAATTTTGGCTCAGCGTGTCTTTACGCCTGTTCTGGCCCACCACGCTTCGGCGCGACGCTCGCGAAACTCTATCCACGTCCCATGTCCGGAGCATCAACGTCCCAAGCCTTTCCGAGCCTCCCGCCCCGCGGAGCGGAGCGACGCACTATCCGCTCGCAAGGCACAGCGTGTCGCTAGGGCCGCAGCCGCGGCACGCCAAGCAAAAGTTCCCGACGCAGCGAGTGGCCGCGAGGACTGCCTCGAGGCTGCGTTCGAGCATATCTCGGGCGGCACGGGCGCCTGGCCAGTGCGAGCGGTGAAGCCTCTCTCGCAGGGACGCTCCCCCATCCCCTCCACGACCACCACCACAACGACGACGACGACGAGACGCTCCAAGAACGATTGATGGGCTTGTTTTCACCCACCACCACCATAAGTTGGAGGGGGAGGAAGAGGAGGAGGAGGAGGAGGAGGAGGAGGAGGAGGAGGAGGAGGAGGAGGAGGAGGAAGAGGAGGAGGAGGAGGAGGAGGGGGAGCAGGAGGAGAAGGAGAAGGGGAAGGAGGAGGAGGAGGAGGACGTGGAGGAGGAGGAGGTGGAGGAGGAGGAGGAAGATCCCCTCCCCCTCCAACTGATGGTGGTGGTGGTGGAAAACAGGCCCGTCAACGATGAACCCCCTGCCGGGCCCGCGCCGCGGAGCGCTCCCCCCCCTGGTCGAGCGGGCCCGAGGGCGCCCGACACCGGCTGCACGAACTGGGCCGACATCTCCCTGGGCGACCCCGTGCAGCAGTCTTCGGCGGAGGCTCCGACGACGGCGGCGTCCATCGGGGATGACCGGCGGACAACGGAGACGGGGGCAACGACGAGAACGACGTCAACAACCCCGTCGACGGCGACGGCGACGACGACGACGATGATGACGGCGGCGGCGGCAATGACGACGGCGACGGCGACGGCGACGACTCGGCGGCGAAGGCGGCGACGGCGGCAGCCGCGGCGACGGCGACGGCGACGGCAGCCGCGGCCGCGGCCGCGGCAGCGGCGGCTGCACGGGCAGGACTGCGATGCCCGGGGCAGCCCCATGTCAGCGGTCCAGTGCGGCAGTCCACGGCGGAGGCCTGTCCACTCCTTCCTTGACGACTGGGCGCCGTGGCAAAGCCACATTCCCAGATCTCCGACGACCCGAGTTGTGCCAACCATCCTGTGGTGTTCGGTCCTCGTTCTGAAGAGACAGCTCCCCGCATCCTTCACACTCGTCCCCTCTCCTCCCTCCTCTCATCCCTGCCTCTTCCCTCCGCACGTCCTCACCGTCATCACCATCATCACCACCACCATCATCACCATCATTACCATCGCCACCACCATCCTCGTTATCATCACCAGCATCATAAACATCATCATCGTAATCAGCATCAGAATGATCACCATCAGCAGCACCATCGTCGTCATCATCATCTGCATCACCATCATCAGCAGCATGCATCATCAGCAGAATAATCACCATCATCACCACCGTTGTCACTGTCATCGTCATGCTCATCGTCATCATCATTATCAACATCCGCATCATCACCATCACCACCAACAGCATCATAATCATCCTCAGCATCATCATCCACATCATCACCAACAGCAACATCATCATCTTCACCACCACCACCGCCACCTTTGCCACCCGCCTCCCTGCCTGCCGCTGCCCTGCCGCCTGAGGCATGTGCGCCTTGCCCCCGCCGCCTCTCCTGGCCTCCTGGCACGCCTGGCCGCCAGTCCTTGGCCCCGGCTCCTGCCTCAGCGCCTGGACCGCAGTCCCCTCCGTAGCCATTTTGGCTCAAGTTCGAAACGCTCCCCTGGCGCTTCGAGCTTGATCGCTGCCGAAGGGACGGCTCAGGGCGCCCCTCCTGCGAGGACAGGCCTCGCTGCACAGGAGCTTCAGTGCCCGTGCCTTGTGGTTCACCTTCTGATCCTCTTGGCACCTTTCTCCTTTTCCACGAACGTTCTTCCGCCATGGTTCGCAAGTCACAGGTGCGCAGATCCGACAAGTATGAGGAACGTGAGGACCGACGGTCTCGGCGGGAGCATGTCCGTGATGGTTCTCTGTCATCGCAGGGTTCTCCTCGTCATGTCCCAGCTAAACTTCGTCATCCGAGCCGCAGCAGATCTGGAGGCATAAGTTCTTCGACGCCTTGCAGCAGCTCGACCGACTCAAAGATTGACACGCTCATCGGCAACATGGAGATGCTCTCCCAACTTGTGGCCAACCAGACGGTGGACATGAACTCCATCAAGGAGGCCTGCAAGGTCTCGGCGGATCGCTGTGCTGCACTTACGGATCAGATGACTTTGATCAGCCGTGAGTATCATAGCCGACATCAGGAGCTTCAAGCTTCGGTGACGGCCTCGTTGAACGCGCTCGACTACAGGATGGGCGTCTTGGAGAATTGCGGGGGCGATTCTCACATGAGTGACGCTGCAGATCCCACACTCACTTCCAAGGTGATCGCGATCGAGGGCTCCCTGTCCGAGTTGCTGGATCGCCAACGGGCCTCTGAGGCTCACATCGCTGCGCTGCAGTCACCACCGACTCCCCCTGCTTCTCCTTCCCCTCGCCGTACGACGACGAACCAGCAGAATGCCCAGGACCAGACGTGCAAGCTGGTACTCTTGGGTTTTACGCGACCCATGCTGGCCAGCGACCTCAAACTCATCGGCAACTCGTGCGTCCACACCTTTGCGCCCGCCCAGTCCGCGGCCAAGATCATCGTGCGGGGCTTTGACATGTCAAAGAAAGTTTCCCTTCACTTCGAGACGGCGCTGGATGCATCATCGTTTCTGGACAACTTCAACCGCACGAACGGATCGTGGTCTGTTGCTGACCCGCTGCACACGGGCGTGCAGCTCTCTCTTCGTTTGCGTCGCGACCTGGACTTCCAGGGTCGCCAGCTTTTTCTTTCGCTTGGCCGTGTGAGGCGCCACCTCACCGATCTGATGCGGAACCGTGGCTTCGAGGTCGGGAGCTCTGGACTGGGGGGGTGTGTCTACATCCTTCGAGGGCCCCACGACCCAGTCCCAGCGGTCAACATCTCGGTCTGCGACAGCGGAGCTGTCACGACTGAGATCGTGCGTGACACTTTGATTGAATTTGGCATCCCTCAGCATGCGGCTGCCCTTGAGGAGGCTGCGCAGGTTCAGCTGCGCCGTCCCTTTCGGCGCTGAGCCCGACTGCTCTGAGTGCGTAGGCAGTTCCCCTCCCTCCTTCTCCCCCCCTCCTGGTGATTATGTGAACAACACGGATCTCTACATGCCTTCCCCTTCTTTGTCTCTTTGTACGTGGAACTGTGAGGCACTGATGTCATCGGTCAGGTCGAAGAACATCATGGCTTCTAAGCGGTACTTTCGATATATACAGTTATGCAGGAAATATGATATCGTAGCTACACAAGAGACACACGGTCATATTGGTGACATATCAGAATTGGAGCGCGAGCTCCGCACGCACAGGTTCGGCTTCTCTTTCTTTGAAGACTCCAACCGCGAGGGCGGCGTCATCACTGCTATCTCTTCTACACTCGCCTCCCAGTTCCAGGACATTAGTCATTACTCGCTCATCACTGGCAGGATCCTCAAGAGTACTCTTATTGGTCCCCGAGGCAATTTGGTCATATATAATGTTCACCTCCCCAATACTTGTGATCCTATTACCATCTTTCAGGGAGTTCTGCGGATCCTTCAAGCTGACTTTAACTCGCACGGTCACGGCGGCGGCGATCTGCCTGCCCATTGCATCATCATGGGCGATTTTAACTTCGTCCTTGAGGAGGAGGGTAGGTTCAAGGGTGACGGGAGTGGGTGGACTGCTGGAGACACTACGCATGCGAGATTATTCCACAAGTTCTTCCCGTGCCTCACGGAACTATATCAAGACCAGGACACGAGACGGGGTAAACGGGGTAAAGCTGTCCAGGTTACTTCCAGGATTGATCGCATTTACACCTCCCTCCCCCCTGCCCTGCTTCGGGACATTACCTCTCGGGCCGGTGTCCTTGGCTCCCTCAAAAGCTTCATGGCTAGCGATCACATCCCTGTCACTGCTTCTCTCGAGATTTTTTCCCCTTCGTCGCGGCACCCTGTCATCTCTCCTTGGATTGCGTCCTTACCTGAGTTTCACTCTGCCCTTAACGGGCTCTTGGGTGAAATCCCGTTGTCCTGGGGCCCTCTCCCGAAACTTCAGATTGCTAAAGATTACTTCTTCGAGGCCGCCTCTGCAGCGCGTGCTGCACTAGGATCCCGCCAAGCTGTTTCTCTCCAAGATAAGCATCATTGGTCTCTTGCTGCCCTTCGTGCCCTTCGCCTCGGGCATGAGCAGCGCCTCCGCCAAGCAGTCACTTGCTATCCGAGGCTTCGTGTCCACTTTAATGCTGATCTCACGGAATGTGTGCACTTGGATGGTCTGTGTCAACACGTCCGTTCTCTCTTTCTTCAAATCCTGAAAGATGAGGAGGATGATATCAGTAAGTCGGACCTTGACGCAGATCGTAAGCGTGACCTTTCTGCCCGCAACCAGCGCCGTAAGGAGCTCTGGACGAAGTTCCGCAGGCGCACGTATCTCTCGGCTGTTTACGATGATCAGGGCTCCCCCCTCACTTCCTCGGAAGCCTCGGCTGCTGCTCTTCGCGATTACTGGCGTGATGTTTTCAAGGCCCCTTCGGTGGACCCTTCGCTCTGGGACGAAATCAACCCGTTCATCCAGGTTCTCTCGGGCCCCCTGGATTGCGACTGGCTTCTTCCCTATCATATTTGGTTTGAGCTCATCACTAAACGTCATCATAGTATGCCTGGGCCTGACGGCATACCGTACGCCGTCTGGAAGAATGAAAATGCCTCAAGAATCCTCTACAGTGTCTACCTTTCTCTCTTTGACGGCCAGGTCCACTCCCTTCCCGACGACATGAAGAGAAGCCTTTTAGTTTTTCTGCCAAAGGGCTCTGATCCTCGTGATGTTCCCGGCTGTCCGCACCTCTTTCGGCATCCCTCTGCTACTAGGCCGTTGAGTATGTGCAACACGGATATCAAGTTGCTTGCTAATGCTTTCACATCCGCTCTTGTTGACCACACTGCCCCTCTTGTCAGTCGGGTGCAAGCTTGTGCGCGTGGGCGTGATATGCTAGCGAATGTTGTTCAGGCCGAAGCTTGGGGCATCTCTCGGCACATGCGAGGTGATAAGTACTCTTCCCTCTTCCTTACGGACTTCTCCGCTGCCTTCCCCTCTCTTTCTACTGACTGGCTATTTCATGTTCTTCGTATAATGTGTATTCCTGCCCCTGTTCTCCGATTCTACCAAATGATGTATGAGGATAACTTTGCCCAGATTACCATCTCATCTCGGCGTTTTGACTGGATTGCTATCACCTCTGGTGTCAAACAAGGCTGCCCTGCCTCCATGCAACTATTTGTGCTTGCAGTTGATCCTCTGCTACGATGGCTTGGCCATCACTGTTCTCTCAACATCGGTATTCACCTGGCGTATGCGGATGACTTCTTATTTGGTTTGGCCAACACCTTACGTGATCTTGGGCCAGCTTTATCGTCCCTCATGCTCCTGGCCAAGATTGCCAACCTCCATTTGAACTTTAAGAAGTGTCAGATTATTATTTGTAGTGAGATGAATAAGGACCTCCTGAAGGCCACCCTTGCTTCCTTTGGCCCGCCCTTTGATGAGATCCTGATTTGTTCTTGGGCCCTCTATCTGGGTATCCCCATTGGTCCCGATGGTCACCTCCATGTCTGGGATGATATTGCTCCTCGTTTTCACCATCGTATTAGACATACTCGTGGGCTCGGTCTTGGTCTTGCCTTGTCGGCTGTCTCGTTTAGGGTCATGTGCGTCTCGCTCCTTTTGTTCAGGTTCCAGATGTACCCTCCCAACCAGGCTATTACTAAGATCTTCAAGGAAGGGGTGTTGCTTCTCACGGTCGGGCCGAGGAATGCTATTTCGTACAACTTGGCCACTAAATTTAAGGAGATTGGTCTAGGTGCTGAGTTCACTGACATCCATGCTGTTGCGAAGGCGGCGTGCATCAGGTACTCCCTTCGCTCATCTGTTTTTCAACAGGCTCTTACTAATCTCGAGTCGGACCGTGATGATCCCGAGCATATTCCGTTTCGCTGGCACCGTGGGTGGCATAAGTCTTCGTTTATCACGTATATGCGTGGCCTGTATACGTGGTACCATAGCATCAATCCCATCATCGATATCACGTGCAAGAATCTTCAATCCAAGCTGTACGCTCTCCTCCGCCAGCACCACCAAACGGAACCTGCTCAGTCTATCCTTCTCCGCCGTGCTCAGTATTTTATACCGGAGGCTCGGGCCTCGATGATTCTGGACTTTCGGCTGAATGTGAAGAGAGTGGTGAAAGCTACATCCATGTATCTGGGAGTTGCCCCTCTGCGTCTGCTCACGGCCTCTTTCAACACGAGTGCGAGATTTCACTGTCAAGCTGCTGGTTGCCTCTTTGGATGCGCTCCGCCTACTCCTGGGAAAGACCTGGACTCTATTGATCATTACTGTATTTGTCCTGGGCTTCGGGACCTCCTGGACTTCTGGCTGGGCACCTATCTTGAAAAGTATTCTGGACCGTTCCGTGGACCGAATGGCGAGCGACCGTACTGGTTCTGTCTCCTCCTCCTCCTCTTCCGTGAGCCCCCTCATGTCTGCCTGTTGCGTGCTGCATGCTGTGATGCCTTTTTGGCTGCTCATAATGCTCGTCGCCTCTCGTGTGCCGGCTCGCCTGCTGAGCACTTCGAGGCCCGCCTCCGTGTCACGGCTCGGAGACACCAGGCTTTATCTGATGCGTGGTCGGGCCGCTCGCCCGCCTTTGTGCACAGACTTACCCGTCGTCCTCCTCCCCCCTCTGCCCCTCTGCCTCATGGAACAGGTACAGAGGCGCTGCCGTCCAGGATGCCTGGCACCCCCCGCGGCAGGTGGGAGCCTCCACAGTAGCTGTTTATCTTCCCTCTTTTCCGCTCACTTACTGCTCATCTATGATAGCAACTGCCCGCGTGCTCGCGATACCGAATGTTGTCCCGGATGCGTTTGTTCCCCCCTGCAGTAAAAAAAAAAAAAAAAAAAAAAAAAAAAAAAAAAAAAAAAAAAAAAAAAAAAAAAAAAAAAAGCGCCTGGACCGCAGTCCCTTTCGCAGTGCCCCTGCTGCCTGGATGTCCCACGCCGGGCCACCACTCGTCTCTGCATGTCCCGGAGCGCCCGCGTGGCCCCTTGCCGGGGTCGCAGGCGGCTCGCCCCTTCGCCTGGCAAGCTGGCCACGGCAGTGCCTTGCTCCGCCCGCGGCCGCGCCGCTCCCCTTACCGAGCGTCCTGCGGCCCTCGCCCGGCGCACACCGCACCCGTGGTGCCAGGCGTCGGCGCCTCGCTGCCCCGCCGCCGAGGCTGGCCGCGCCAGCGCACTCAGGACTGGAAGTTGTCCGCCTCTGAGAGCCCCCCCTCCTCTCCCTCCTTCTCCGCGGCCGCCCCGTCTGTCTCAGCCTCCTCGCCTGCACGTTGGGCAGTTCGCTCTTCGGCCGCCCCGAACTGCTTGACCGCTGGTGCAAGATACCATCTCTGCCTCGCCGCCGACGGCAAAAGTGTTCTTACAGCCGCGTTGCCATGAGCCCCCATGCTACTTTTGTCTCCCATTCAGCCCGGTCCTCGGACCCCACGGCTGGCGGCTCCCATCGCGCCCGTGGTCTTACCGCGCTCAGCTCGGCTCGGATAGGAGACCGAGCTCAGATCCTTTCAAGGCTCTGGACCACTGCTCGTAGCACGTGTCGACTCGTATGAACAAGAGCTCTATAGCTGCTCTAAGTCTCGGAACCAAGGCCGTAATCCGAATGCACACCAAAACATATTGCAGAGTGCGAGTAGTGCTTCGGTCATAGCTTCATCTGTTCATCGCGCTGCGACTCGGCTCTAGCAGTTACCCGCCTTGCATATGATCAGGCGCCGCCGGTGGCCCAGCCAGCTGCCTATCGCCACTGGCCCCTCATCTGCCTCCCGCCCTCCCACGCACCTCGCCCGGGACGGCCGGTCGTGGCCAACCCGTTTGAGGCTTGCCAGCGTATGTGCGAGTTTCTCTCCTCTCGCACGGCAGCTGCTGGTTGGGTGCCTGCCGAGGAGAAGCTTAAAAATGTGTCGCCTGCCCTCCTGCTTGCTCCTTTCCCTTTCGTGTCGCCGTGCTCCGGCCGGCCCTGTTCGCGCTTTCGGCGCCAGGTGCTCGCCGCCTGCCTGCTCTGTCTGGCGCCCACCAGGCTTCCCAATGGTGTCGGCGCCGTTTGCGGCATACCGTCCAGCGCCTCTCTTTCTCCGTCCCCCTCCCTCCCGGGTTGCCTGTCTTCGCTCTCGTTTTGTCATCGTGCCTCATGTTTGTGCGCCGTCAATGTTGCTGCTTGGAGGTCCCACTTGGACGGTACCAAGGTTGCCAGGCTTGCACGCGCTACCACGCAAGGTGGCAACTTTTGCTTCGCGCGTACCCAACATTTGCTAATGATATACGCGGGCGTCAACTACAAGTGTGTGTGTGCTTGTGTGTTCACCACCCACCAAGCCACCCCAACCCAACCCGAAGGCCTCAATTTGCCCTCCATTTCCAGTTGGGGGGGGGTAGGGGAACACTGAAAAAACACATATGGAACCCGTACCCCCCCCAACCCGAAATTGGGGTCTTCGGGTTGGGTTGGGGTGGTCTGGTAGGTAGTCATGTGTGTGTCTTGTGTTTGCGTGTGTGAGAGTGTTTCTGTCTGTGTGTCTGTGTGTCTGTGTGTCTGAGTGTGTGTGTGTATCTGTGCGTGTGTGTCTGTGTGTGTGTGTGTCTGGGTGGGCGTGTGTGTGTGTGCGTGTGTGCGTGCGCATGTGTGTGTGCCCATCCTGTTCATCTCTCCACCTCTCTCTCTCTCTCTGACTCTCTCTCTGTCTCTCTCTCTCCCTCTCTCTTTGCTCACTCCCCCCCTCTCTCTCTCCCTCCCTCCCTCTTCCTTCCGCACACACACCTGCTCCCCTCTCGCACTGCCGTTCTGCTCCGACGGCATCGGCCACGTCCGGGCCCGGCCCTCCGCCCCCCCCCAGGGGTGCGGGCAGCTCTGCCTGGACACGGCGGGCTGCGTGGGCTTCGGGTACCAGCCCGGGACGTGCCGCGTGGCGGCCTTGGCCTGGGGGGACCGCCGGGGGGGCGGACGGCCACCACCGCCGGGGAGGAGGGCCGGGAGGACAAGCGGGAGGAGGAGGGCCAGGGAGCAGGAGGAGGGCCAGGGAGCAGGAGGCGGAGGGAGGAGGAGGGCCGGGGAGCGGGAGGGGGAGCAGCGGCATGGAGGAGGGGCACGGAGGGGAGGCGGAGGAGGGCGAGGGCGTCGGGGGCAGCGCCGAGGAGAAGGAGCACAGGAGGCGGCCGTGCTGTCTCCGCACGAGCCCGCCGCGCGCCTCACGTCCCCAAAAGAGGCGCCGTGGTCCGCCCCGCGGAGGGCCCTCGGCAGGGCTGCCCGGAGGCACAGACCCCAGACGTGCTCGCGTCGTGAGGCAGTCACAGGCTCGGCATCGCTCGGACGTGTGCATTGTTCCTTCGGCGAGGGCCATCGAGGAGCATCCTGGAGCATTCGGCGAACAAAAACCGCGCACGAAGCCGAGAAAAGCACAGGGAATGGACGTCCGAGCGATGGCCAGCAGGGGGCGGTGTTTTCCCGTTGTCGGCCCCTGGGGGCCTTCGCTTGGGCCCCGGGACAGTCGGAAGACGACCCAGGCTGAGAACGGGTCCTGGGTAATTAACAGGTCTCTGGGGGTCCACGTTGCAAACCAAAACAGAACACAAACAAAAACACGACGTCGAATGTCTGGGACCCAGATTTCCGAATGACTGATTTTTCCCGGAAAGGGCCTGAGCCCAGGGTTCTCTTTTAGTTGGTTTCCCCCTCGGTTTTGACGGCTGTAGGGCCGGCGAATTTCTTTTGCGATAAATAACGAGGTCGCGTAGGGCCGGCGAATTAAACGTTGAGGATGTCCCTAGCGAAACGCTTGTTGTTCAGAATTTGTTGAGGATGTCTCGAGCGGAACGCTGGTTTTGCAGAGTTGGGGATGTCTCGAGCGAAACGCTTGTTTTCAGAATTTGTTGAGGATGTCTCGAGCCAAACGCTGGTTTTGCAGAGCCGACCGCGACACGGAAAAGCGCCCCGCGCGCAGGAATTCCGATGATGTCTCGCGCGTGCCGCGTCCCGCGCGCAGGAATTTCGAGGATGTCTCGACTAGTTCGTTTGTTTTGCTAGGATTTCCTTGAATTTTGGCAGGATGTCTCGAGCGAAATGCTTGTCTTTCATAATTTGTTGAAGACGTTTCGAGCGAAACGCTGGTTTTGCAAAGTTGGGGGATGTCTCGAGCAGGGGCCTCGTGGGGGGCCTCGTGGGGGTCCAGAATTCAGAGGGTGTCTCAGGCGAAATGCTTGTTTTCACGTCCCGCTCGCAAGAATTCCGAGGATGTCTCGCGCGTGCCGCGTCCCGCGCGCAGGAATTCTGAGGATGTTGGCAGGATGTCTCGAGCGAAACGCTTGTCCCCAGCACGTTCCGTAGCGCGTCCCCTTGGCACGTCCCGCGGTGCGTCCCCATGGCACGTCCCTTGGCACGTCGCTTGGCGGGTCCCTTGAGACGTTCCGCGTCGCGTCCTCCTGGCATGCCCCCCTGTCCATTAGCTCTGGGGCAGCTACTATGTGTTCACGCAGCTCGAGCTTAAGATCCAGATCAGTTCGGTCAGGACTCGGATGCAAAGGAGGACTCGATCCACGAGGCTATAGAGCACAATCGCGGCATGGCACAACGCAATTCAGCACGGCGCAGCACAGCACAGATTTCGGCACGGTACATCAAGATCGATACACTCAGCACTGCAACTTGGCACGTTCCGTGGCACGTTCCGTGGCGCGTCCCTTGGCGAGTCTCCCTGGCATGTCGCGTGGCGCGTCCCCTGGCACATCCCGTGGCACATCCATTGGCACGTTCCGTAGCGCGTCCCTTTGGCACGTCCCGCGGTGCGACCCCATGGTATGTCCCCTGGCACGTCGCCTGGCGCATCCCTTGGGACGTTTCGCGGCGCGTCCTCCTGACATGCTCCCCTGTCTATCAGCTCTGGGGCAGCTACTATGTGTTCAGGCAGCTCGAGCTTAAGATCGAGATCAGTTCGGTCAGGACTCGGATGCAAAGGAGGACTCGATCCATGACGCTATAGAGCACAATCGCGGCATGGCACATCGCAATTCAGCACGGTCCAGCACAGCACAGCCCTCGGCAGGGTACATCGAGATCGATACATTCAGCATTGCATTTGCCCGTCACCCAATCAGGTGTCTTTGAAAACGCTGCCATGTGTTACAGTTCTATATTCCTTTCCGGGTTCGTGGGTCGATCATGTTCAACCGTTTGTTTCGTTCTTTCGAGTCAGGCTGAAAAAGGCCGCTTCCGATCCTTGGGGCCATCACATGGTGACCTGGGGCAAAGCATCGTCCCCGGGGAAAGGGCTTGTAGAGCTGTGGGGCCACGGAGCGAAACAATGAAAGGACACATCGTCGGACGTCTGGGAGTGACTCGCCGCGGATTGAAACCATCAAAGAACACGCCGCCGGATCTCTGGCGGGGCAGAGGGCTCTTGGGACGTTGATGGCCCCAGTCGGGCATCGGGGGGCTTCCCCTCGGCCCTTCTCCGCCTCCGGGCACCTCTCGAGACTCCGGGGGCCGCTGGAGATCTCGACGGCCGCGCGGAGCCAGGCCTCCCAGGTAGGGCCGCGGCAGGTTGGGGTTGGAGGATCGCGCCGCACCCGCGAAAAAGTAATGATCCCAGGCATGATGGCGTCGTAAAGAAAGCAGGACGGGAGGTTTTTCGCTATTTTCGGCCCCGAGGGGCCCTCGCCGGGCCTCGGGACCGTCAAAAAACGTGTCATGACGAAAAACTGGCCCCGGGGAAAGGGTCTGGACTTCCAGGGACGCCGTCCTGAAAAAATCAGGACGTCGCATGTCTGGGATACGGAGCCATCTGTTCTCCGTCCTGGCGTCGCGGATGCGTCCACGCTGCGGCCCGATCCTGCCGCTCCATCTGCTGCGGTCCCCTGTGGGAGGCTCCCAGGGCTGAGAGGGTGGGCAGCTCGGTGTGACACTCGGACCGCCCCACATATGAGGACTTCCCGGCTGGCCGGCGGCTTCCAGTTCGGACTATGTCACGGCGATGCCTGCGAAGCAAGCGTCGACATGTGTCAGGAGGGGAACAAACACACAGACACAATTAATCGTCGACCCCCAGGAAAATATTGGAAAATATGGGAAGTGGGGGGAAAATAAAACACCAGAAAATATACGAAAATATGGGAATCATTTTATTTGTGTATTATTGAATCGCTTCGCTCATTCCGCCGGCCCATTTCGCATGACTGAGCCTCTTGGGGCCGCTGGGGGGGCCTCTTCAGCGTCGCTTGGGGGCCTCCCTGAGGGCCTCTTGGGGGCTTTTGGGGCTTCTCAGGGGCCTCTTGAGGCCTCCTTGGGGCTTCTTAAGGCCGAGGGCTCGAAGTTTTGTTTTGCGTTCCCCCTTTGGGGCATCGCTTGGGGCCCTCTTGGGCTCCTCTTGGGCCGTCTTGGATGCCTCTGGGGCCGTCTTGGAGCCCTCTTGGGCCATCTTGGGGCCTTCTTGGGAGCTTCTTGGGCCCTCTTGGGGCGATCTTGGGGGCCTCTTGGGCCGTCTTGGGGCGTCGGGAAGCCGAAAAGATGGAAACGCCAAAATCTGCCCAAAACCTAAGGAAAAGTAATGAATGTTGAATCTTGGGGCCCGCTGGGGAGTGCTCTTGGAGGCCTCTTGGGGCGTCTGGGGGCCATCTTGGGCGTCTTGGAACGATCGTGTGGCATCTCGGAGCACTCTTGAACCATCTTGGAGGGCTCTTGGCGGCCTCGTGGCCCTTCTTGGGGCTCTCTGGAAGGCCACGGGGGCGGCACCCAGGAGGAAAACCATTCTGACCCGACCCTGCCGGGGATCGCCCGGGGTACTTTCCGTCCGGGGACCCCAGGGGCCGCCCCGCGCGCGCGAAGTAGAAGTATTATCTAGCAGTTACCGGAGATCTTAGCACGCCTCTGGCCCGTTGGGCCGGCGAATTTGTGTGTCCTGGGGCCCCTTGAATGTGGCCTCGGCGCCTGCTTCACTGGGAGCAAGGCGTGCCACAGTCCTGAGGCATTGCTCGGCGGCGAAGTCCGAACCCTGCTCGCCGATGCACTGTTCGGGCAGCTCGGTGAGCGGGGGGAGCGGGGTTCGGAGTTCGTCGAAAACGTGGCGAGGTGCGACCCCTGCAGTCGGGGCCCTGAAGAAGGAACCCTTTTCGTTGGGGAGGGGCTCCGCGTTCCTTAAGTGTGTCACAGCTTGCCTCAGGCTTTCCATATGTCTTCGACAGGAAATCGAAGTTTAACTTATGGAAAAAAGAGGCCTCGTTCCTTATTTCGGGTTCCTTAGGTCAACGCCCCGACTGTACCCCCGCCACCTATCGATTCAGGAGAGTCGATGGTTGGTGGGGACGGCTTCGGATGTCGCCGCCTACGTGTCGGCAGCGAAGGTCTCCCTTCTTTACCAGAAGCGCCTGTTTGAGAGTGCTTCGCAGGGTCCTCTTTGGTTCATCCCGTCTGGACGAGGCCAGCAGGCGCGAACCGAAACCTCCACACGCTCCGCGCCTTCACTGGAGAGACGGGAGTTCTTCCGAAGGAGGTTGCTCAGAGAGTGCCAGCTCCAGCCGACGAGCAGGCCCAGCGTATCGTCAGTAACCTGCCTGCATGGCTGTCTCTCTCCCTCTGTCTCTTTCTCTCTCCTTCTCGCTCTCTCTCTCTCTCTCTTGTTCTCTCTCCTTCTCTCTCGCTCTCTGTTGTTGTTATTTCTCTCTCGCTCTCCCTCTCTCTCTCTCTCTCTTTCTCTTCCTCTCTTCCTTTCTCTGTCTCTCTATTCCTTGATATTTCTCTCTCTTGTTGATGTTCTCTCTCCCTCTCGAAATGTACTCATATATAGAGCCTGGTTTCGGTTCGGTTTCGGACCCCTGCGATTTACAGATTTTATGCAGAAAGCCTCGCTCTCACCTCCTCCCTCTTCCTCCTCCTAAGCCTCTCTCTCACCTCCTCCCTCCTCCTCCTCATTCCTCCTTCACTCTCTCTCTCTCTCTCGCTCTCTCTTCTGTGTGTTTTCGTTCGTCGCGCATTCCTCTTCCTCCTCATCCTTCTCCGTCTTCCTCCTCATCCTCTTCCCGATCCTCCTCCTCCTCCTCCTTCTCCTCGTCCTCATCCGCCTCCTCCCCCTCTCCCCCTTTTCTGAAGGAGTGCCACAACTTTGGGACAACCATTGGAAAAACCAAAAAAACAAAGAAATTGAAGTGCTGGAGGCGAAAACTTTAGGAAACCCATTGGAAAAAAACAAAAAAAAACAGAAAAAAAACAAAGAGTCCAGGGAACACCCGTCCGAAGGGACACGTCCAAAGGGAATCCCAGCACTCTCTGTGGAATCTTTGTTTTTTTTTGTTTTTAGGGTTTTTGTCCAATGGGTTTCCTAAAGTTTTCGGCTCCAACAGTTCAGTTTCTTTGTTTTTTTTGTTGGTTCCAATGGTTTTCCCAAAGTTTTTGAATTGTGTGCTTTGGGGGCCTCTCAGGCGGGAGCATCGTTTAGAGTGTTCTATCGGGAACCTCTCTGGCGGGAGCCTCTTTTTGTTTGCGTGTTGGTGGACTTCTCAGGCGGGAGCCTGAGGGAGCCATGAGGGAGCCATGGGGGCAGCCACGAGGGAGCCATGGGGGAGCCATGGGGAGCCGTGGATGGGGTGGGGGGAGCATCCTCCTCATCTCCCTCCTCTCCTCATCCTCGTCTCCTTGTCTCCTGATATTGTATATTCTCCTCCTCCTCCTGCTCCTCGTCCTCTGCGCCTCTCGCTTTCTCATGTTCCTCGTCTTCCTCCTCATCTTCATCGTCCTCATCCTCGTCGTCATCCTCTTCCTCATCCCATCCTCATCATCATCTCCATCGCCTTCTTATCTGCATATTACATGCTCTTTCTCAGCATCATAATCTTCCTCATCCTCACCTTCCACATTCTCATCTTCCTCCTCATTATCACCATCATCATCATCATCATCATCTCCATGATCATCTTCATCTTATCCTCATCTTCCTCACCATCCTCATCTTCCTCCTCACCCTCATCTCCTTATCCTCCTCATCTGCCTGATCCCCCTCATCCTCCAGCGATTGGGATGTGGATCGAGCATGTGTTATTCGTATTCCTCCTCCTCCGCATCTCCTTCCTCTTCCTCCACGTTCGCTTCGGTGTGCAGTGGGTTTCAAAATTGGCCTCAGACAGTTTGCCCGGACCTGCCATCTTCTCACAACACTCTTTCTGAACATGAGCGAGGAAGACGAGGAAGAACGAGGAAGAGGAGGAGGAGGAGGAGGACGAAGAACGGCATGAGATGGGGGCATCCATTTTTTGGATGCCCTCGAGAGCACCACAATTGCAGAAGAGAGTTCGCAAACGAACGGCACCAGTTCCTAGTTGATCCCGTTTGTCCTCGAGGCACGGCAGCGGCTGCGATGCAGACCACATGCTGGGTTCGCGCGTGCATGGTGTGAGATTGGGGCCACCCATGCCTGGGGTTGAACGGGGAACCCACGCCACTGCGGCGAAAAAAAAACAATCATCCAACCATCAGCGTCGCCTCCACCGTCGCATCACGCCGCATTCGCAGAATTCCTGAAATCGCGGGGGTCCGAAACCGAACCGAAACCATAGAGCCTTCCCTCTCTATCCCTCTCGCACCCCCTGCTGTTGAGGCCACGCTTCTGCTACTGCTGCGTCACGGCAGGGGTGCCACTCGCAGGCGCACCCGCTTCTTCCACATTTCGGACGGCCCCGCTGATGAGGCCGCGCTGCAGCAGCTGCAACTTCACAGCGGGGGTGCCGCTCGCTGGCGCACTCCTGCGCTTGCTGCCACCAACATGTCAGCCATGAGAGCTTCACTTCGCTCTCTTGTACAGTTACTCCAGATTTCGTAGTACAAGGGAGGGAGTCTGGACCCTCCAAGACAAGCCATTTCAGACCTCCCCCGTGGGAGAACCCTCCAAAACATCGTCCCCAGACCCCTCCAGGCCCTCCAAGATAGCCTGGAAAAGACCCCCCCCCGAAATGACACGCCCCTCCCTTTATTAGGAAATCTGGAGTACCGTCTGACGGTGCGCCCTTTACCGTCCGCTGCGACATGCTTTTCATACGCTGCGTGACCTTCTCGGTGTCCTGCACGCCCGCATAGGGCCTCCACCACGGCCGTGGGTCCCGCGCCTTGTCCGCCCGCCTGCCCGCAGGGCCACGCGTCATCGGCCGCCTGGCTGCGACGGCGGGGGACGCCCCGTCGTTCGCAAGCCGCTCAGCGGTTAAGCCTTTGCCCCCCGGCCGCCAACCGGGGCTTCGCCGGCCTGGGCCATTTTCCTGCGCGGGGCGCCGAGAGACTCGGAGTGTCGCCTGCTCCGCACCCCGTCTCTTGCCTCAGTCGCTTAGCGCCGGAGTGTGGTTGTTTCAACACTCCCCGTGCCCCAAGGTGCGCACCACCGCCAAGAGTGCGATGGCGGCCCCGGCTACGCAATAACAGGCTGTCGACGGGACTCCCGTTTACTTGTCCTATCTTTGTGTATGTGTGTTTGTGTGTGTTGTTGTTCTTCTCTCTCTCGTTCTTCCTTTTCCCCTTCCCCTTCCCCCCCTCACGAATGGTCAAGCACAGGAGGTCAAGAGCTGCATGTCTGCCCTGCCTTGCTGTTCGATTTTTACGCACGCTCGGCACACGGGCTTCTGACGCAAGGCTGGCGAGGACGGGGGGGGATACGAGGAGGAGGAGGAGGAGGAGGAGGAGGAGGAGGAGGTTATGGTCTGTACGAGGGAAGGAGGACACGGGGGCGAGGGCAAGGAGGAGGAAATGAGGGCGAGGACGAGAGAGATTAGAATGCGGAGGACGAGGACGAGGAAGGCGAGGACGAGGAGGATGAGGTCCGGGATGGGGGGATGGTGTGCGCGATCGGCCGCGCGTTGGCAGTCGCACAGGCGAGCAATATTTGAGGGAGGAAGTGAAACGGGCGTGCGAAGCACAGATTGAAGCACTGAATCTAGGTTTCCCGGTGGCGTCTTCGGCATTTGTTGTCAGACGATTTGCCCAGCTTTTTTGATAGCTTCTGCTGACCTTGCGCAACGCTTGTCCATCGCCAGAAAGATCTCTGGTGCGGGCCTAGTGGCGTCCCCCGGATCGCTGTTGCGTGCAGCCGATTCCGCCATTCTCTGCTCATGTGGGGTGGTGATTCAGTCGAAATGCCACGGCAAGGCGCGCGATAACACATTCAGCATAGTATCCCGACTAAGGTTGGAGATTCTGGAGGGGAGTCGCTCCAAGGAGGCTGCTATTTGTGGAACGGAGACTGTAGCATGGGCGTCAACGAATGCTGGGACGAGTACACGCTGACAAACGCGTCCACTACCCCCTCTGGGAACTCATCGACAGCTTCAGCAACTACAGAACAAGCCGGCGATGTAGCAGGCGTGTTGGGCATGAGGAAGGCAAGAAGAGGGAGGAGAAGCAAAACGAGGACGATGGAAATCAAAAGGAGGAGGAGAAAGAGGAGAAGGTGAAGGAGGAGGAGGAGGACGGTGGAGATGATAGGAGGAGGACGAGGAGGAGGCGGAGGAGGAGGAGGAGCAGCAGAAGGAGGACGATGGAGAGGAGGAGGAGGAGGAGGAGGAGGAGGAGGAGGAGGAGGAGGTGAAGGGCGAGGAGGAGAAGGTGAAGGGTGAGTTAGGGCAGAAGCACGGGAAGAGAGGATAATGAGGAAGGAAAACATGAAGAAGGACGAGAAGGCTTGATGACTCTTTTCCTCAGTCGTCATTTGGGTGCGCGCAAGGTCACAAAACATGGCCCAACTCGAGGTCTCTTCTCTCGGGACCCTGTTGGGGCCAGTTGCGGTCCCAGGAAGCCACCTTGGGACTTCAGCGCAAAGGCGAGAACGCCAAGCTCTACTCAAGACGCCCACGCTTGTTACGTGCGTGAGCCTGGTTATACGGCGGCTTCTTCCGCCACTTGGCGGTTATCTGGAAGGACAGCGGGGCTGTCTTGGATTACTTCGGCACCATGCCGCTACCATGTGACGACCTGTTGAGGCCGCCTTGGGGCCATCTTGGAGAGAGGGCCATCTTGAGGGCAGCCTGGAAGGGCCGAACTTTCCCGTGAGCGCGCTTGATCACCATCGCCCCGCTTTTGGGGCCACTGCTGCCCCTCTCTTGCTCTATGATGTTCCAACTTAACTACCGTAGCCTTGATCACCAGACAGAGCACCAAGAGAGTGCCGAAGCTGCAGGGGTTTCACGTGTCGGGCCCTGGGAGGCGATGCTCGTTCCACACCGTTTCGAGACTTTCCTGGGTGCTCGAAATGATTCCTGGGATGTGGTCCTCGAGCACAGTCGGGGCGCTGCAGAAGGAACCCTTTTCGTTGGGGAGGGCCTCGGTGTTCCTTAAGTGTTTAACAGTCTGCCTCAGGTTTTCCTGAGGTCTTCCATTGGAAATCGAAGTTTAACTTATGTGAAACAGGGGCCTCGTTCCTTATTTAGGGTTCCTTAGGTCAACGCCCCGGCTGTACGGTGGGAGCAACATGATTATTGTTGCGAGCTCGCCCAGGGTGTGCGCGTGCTGCCGGTGGCCGGGCCATGAGCGCCGAAGTGCACATGGGCAGGCCCAGCGGCCCAGAGTCGGGCGTGTCCCTCTGCAGGAGGAATATTCAAAAATTGTCAACGAGTAGTGTGGAAACGATGCTTCAATGCTTTTGAACAGTTTTTTGATATTTGTTGTTTATTGCTTTCGTCCAAACACCGCCTGTAGGAGGACCTGCCCGACCGAAGCCCAGGCATGCACTCCCGTCGAAGGAGCGCGCCCTCGGCGCGGCAAGACGCCGCCGCAGCCGCGAGGTTCGACCGCCCTCTCGAGAGGGCGTGCCCTCGGCGACGCCTCTGCGGATCTTCGCCATGAGGCAAACGAGGTTCCCCAGGGGAACCGGCCCCGAGATTTGTCGCCGCTTTGGGGCTCCAGGGCCACTGCCAGGGCCCCAGCACCATCACAGAACCACTCAGGATGAAGAGCTGGTCCCAGGAAGAGGAGGAGGAGGAGGAGAAGGATGAATAATATGAAGAAGAAAAAGAAGAAGAGGAGGAGGAGGAGGAGGAGAAGAGGAGGAGGAGGACCCCCTCCCCCTCCCACTGATGTGGCGATGGAAAAGAGCGCACCACGTGAGCCGGCACCATAGCAAGAGCCCCTGCGGTCCGGGACCTGTTCTCCTCAGGACTCGTCTGCTTCACGTCAGAATCTGGGCTCGAGTGCGCCAGTCCGCTCAACCATTGCGATTACCGAACACGTCTACGGATGCGTTGTCCATACGTGGTGTGAGTGATTTCCTTCGAGTTGCACTGCGTTCTTCCGAGTAGCATTGCACACATCTCCCGGTGGCTGTATAGTTGTTCCGCCTGTGTCTTATGACCGCCCGCATGTCTGCTCATTGTATCATGCCTGTTGTGCGCCCAATCCGAGGCAATTTGAACACGTCGCACTGGCCTCACTGTGTTGCTGGGGTGCCAGATTTATTCAAACAGTGCGCCTACTGATGCGCATGCCCAGGCGGCGGGGACTCTTCCACGACGCCGGAGGCGGGCTCTTCGAAGACGACAACGGAGGCCAACTCTGCAACCACGCTGGAGGCCAGAGGGTATGCTCTTCCTTCGGCACCAGAGGGCGCACGGGCCAGGCATACGGTCAGGAATTTTGGCTCAGCGTGTCGCTCCGCCGGTTCTGGCCCACCACACTTCGGTGCGAAAAGTTATCCACGTCCCAATCCCCAAGCGTCCACGTCCCGAGCTCTGTCCAGCCTCCTGGCCCGCGAAGCGGAGCGACATGCCATCCGCTTGCAAGGCACAGCGTGACGCTGGGACCGGCACCGCAACAAGCTGGGCAAAAGTGTCTGATCGCTAAAGGGTTCGGCCACGCGTGAGAGTGTCCCTTTGCTCGAGTGACCTTCGGTGCGGGCCTACAGGGCCGCCCCCAGCGCTGGCCAGCGCGCTCGGATTTGACGCCCCGCGGCCCCAGAAGCCGTGCTCCAAAAGAGAAGTTCTTGCCTGGCGTCGCTCCTTCTGTGCAGCCGAGGATAGGGGGTCGGGGAGGGGGCACGGAACGAGGGGGCGCAGGGGGGGAGGCGGGCGGAGCAGCTGTGATTCGGGGGAGGGCGGAGAAAGAAAATGGCGACGCTCCCGCCCGGCCCAAGTCCCACCAGAATCTGTGCCCAAACACCTTCCGGGGTTCATCCTGACTTGTTTTCTTGGGCGTTGCCTACTGGGTGGGCGATGGCTCCTCCTCCTCCTACTCCTCCTCCGCCTCCTCCTCCAGAAGCGTGCACCTCTTGTGCACATTCGGGGCCCTGAAGGGACCCCCTCCGGCGCCCCGAAGGGGCAGGGGAGGTGCACGTGTCTTCGCCCCCGCACGCGTCGCCCATAAGATTTTATCGCCTATCGCCCCCGCGCTCCTCGCCCCCGCACTCATCGCACTCCAAGGGACGATCCGCGTCTCGCTCCCCAGTCAGCAACGCCCCGTGTTCAAGGAGGGTCCAGCCGTGGCGGCAAATATTAGCCTGGCGAAGAACCCAGCCATATGCCGCTGTGGGCACCGCAGTTGTGGGTATCGTTTCCCGTGGAGCTCCCCCTTGGGGCCACGAAGCGCTGTATTGGGCGGGGGAACCGCATGCGAACTTTGCCAATGGGACCTTCGGTGGAGCGTCTTCAGGGGCCACGAGACGCTGTACTGGGCGGGGGAACCGCATGCGGACTTTGCCACTGGGACCTTCGGTGGAGCGTCCTCAGGGGCCACGAGACGCTGTACTGGGCGGGGGAACCGCATGCGGACTGCGCCGCTGGGACCTTCGGTGCTGCCTATGGGGCCACGAACCGCAGTACTGGGCGCAGGAACCGCATGCGAGTTCCGCCACTGGGACCTTCGGTGGAGGTCCCTCAGGGGACGCTGCACTGGGCGCAGGAACCGCATGCGAACTGCGCCAATGGGACCTTCGGTGGAGCTCCCTCTGGGGCCACGAAACATTGTACTGGGCGGGGGAACCGCATGCGAACTGCGCCACTGGGGCCTTCGGTGGAGCCCCCTCTGGGGCCACGAGACGCTGTACTGGGTGGGGGCGCATGCGGACTGCGCCGCTGAGACCTTCGGGAGAGCTCCCTCTGGGGCCACGAGACGCTGTACTGGGCGGGGGAACCACATGCGGACTGCGCCGCTGAGACCTTCGGTGGAGCTTCTTTGGGGGCCACGAACCGTTGTACTGGGTGGGGGCGCATGCGGACTGCGCCACTAGAACCTGCGGTGGAGCCCCCTCAGGGGTCACGAGACGCTGTGCTAGGCAGGGGAGACGCATGCGGACTGCGCCACTGGGACCTTTGGTGGCTCTCTCTCCGCTGTACTGGGCGGGGGGGACGCATGCGGACTGCACCACTGGGACCTTCGGTGGAGTTCTTTCTAGGACATGGGTGGGGGGGACGCATCTGGACTGCGCCACTGGAACCTTCGGTGGAGCTCCCCATGGGGCCACGAAACGCCGTACTGGGTGGGGGGACGCATGCGGACTGCGCCACTGGGACCTTCGGTTGAGCTTCCTATGCCACGAAACATTGTACTGGGTGGGAGAGACGCATGCGAAGTGCGGAGGAGGGAGGAGGGGGAGGAGGAGTGGAGGAGGAGGAGGAGGAGGAGGAGAGGAGGAGAGGTGGGACGCGAGGCGCTGTCTGCTCAAAACGATGGCCCAACACCACAGGATGGTTGGTACAAATCAAGACAAGCTCAGAGAGGACGAACAAAACGCGAGGGACGCTGGTTTGTCTCGGCTGGCACTCCTCTCCTAGCGATGGGTGGGAGGTGTTCCCCACATCAGCTTCATGTGTTTGCTTATTCGCATGCGTCGGCGATTGTTTTTTTCTCATGCGTTAACCCCACAAGCCCGTGCTTCAGCTCCGAGCAACGTCAGCACCAGGAGAGTTTGCACCCGGAGAGGGGAGGTGCGGGGACAGGGGTGGAGACGGGGATGAGCCCCCCCTGCAGAGCCGCGTGCCCGCGCGGTGCTCGAGCCAGCGTGCGCCGGTGGCTCCCCGTCCCGATCGTGCCTTCGACAGGGCTGCTGGGAGGGGCTTCAGCAGCCATGCTTTCGAGCTATCTGCGAACCGAGTGACCTTCGACATCCGCCGCCGTGAAAGTAACGTGAAACGCTGGCTCCAACGATGCATGCCACATGCTCTGTGTGCCCGCCCTGAGGGCCGCCGGTTTTCTGAGTTTCTGGGAAGCCAGCTCGCTTGAGGCGCAAGTGGCACACAGACCCAGCAGAGGTCTCCAGCACGTTGGGAGAGGCGCCATCCTCGAGAGGCTCGCCATCGGTTAGAAGGCCAGGTCGCTTGAGGCGCAGCTGGCGCGCGGGCAGGGCCGAGGCCGCTAGGCCGTCGAGGGAAGCGCCGTCCTCGCAGGAATCACAACGTCGTCGTCGTCCTCCTCGTCCTTGTCCTCGTCCTCGTCCTCCTCGTCGTCCTCGCCGTCCTCGCCGTACTCGTCCTCGTCACTCCTCCGCCCTGTGTCCTCGTGCTCCTGCGCCCTCGGAGTCGCCCTCGCCTCGCCCTCGGTCTCCCCCGGGTGGTGCCCCTCACGTTGTGATCTATTGTCGTGTTATGATATGTTCTGCGATGCTGTGCCATGATACGATATGTTATATCAAGGTGTGCTATGGTGTGTTCGGCTCTGTTATGCCATGTGTTGCTATGTCGTCTTATGTTATGTCATTGTCTGCTCTGGTATTTAAGATGATGTTATGCTGTGCTCTATGTTGCCATGACATTGCTATGTTATGTTCTGTCATCTTCTGTCATGCTCGCGTTATGTTATGTCATGTTTTGTTGTGTCATGTTGTGTTATGTCGTATTCGTCGACGCTGTGCTCTGGTGTCGTGTTATGACATGTTCTGTGACGCTTGCTATGAGATAGTATGTCAAGGTGTGTGATGGTATGCTCGGTTCTAATTTTAAATGCTGTGGCCTGTCGTGTTCGTCGAGGCCGCGAGGCGGAATCATCGGGACAACTTGGGGTCCTGTGGCTGCGGTATGCAGGGTGGGGCTGGCCGGGCGCGAGGGGGGACATCCGGGATTCTCGAGACAATGTTGTGTTTGCTGGCCGCGGTATACAGGGTGGTGTTGGTCGGGCATGAGGCGGGACAACCGTGATTCTCGAGACTCTCGGGACAATTGTGGGTCTGTTGGCCGCGGTATGCAAGGTGGGGTTGGCCGGGGGGGGGCTGCTCTGGAGATCTAACAACCCCAACCTGTCGGGCGGGAAACAAACAAACAAAGAAGCAAACAAACAATCAAACAACGCGGAATCCCACTTCAGACACACACCCAGGGACAGTGGTTGGCCATTCGGCCCCTTCATGGTGATATGCACATGTGGATAAATGTTTACATATATACATATGTATACATATGTATACATATATATACATACATACATACATACATACAGACAGACAGACAGACAGACAGACAGACAGACAGACAGACAGACAGACATACATACATACATATGCATCCAGAGATATCTGTGTATGTATGCAGACATACACATACACGCATGCATATATACACATGCGTATACACATACGTATACATACACATGCGTCTAGATGTATGATATGCAACTGTGTATATATGCATATACATGCATACAGATAGATATATGTGTATATCTTCATAGATATATAAGCATGTATTCATACATTTAGACTGTGCACACAATAACGAAGCAAGCTCTGACGTTTGGGCGCACGTTCCTGGCATCTGCTGTCCTTTCGCCGCCCGTGTCTGCCCTGGCCCTCGGTTGCGCGTCGGCCTCTGGCCCTCGTAGGCCCCACTCGTAGCTGTGCGACTCGGCCTCGGATTCAGCGCTCGACTCTAATCTTAAGTCGGGCATGCCCCTCTACAGGAGGAATACTCGAGAATAGTACAAAAATATCTTGGGACGATTTTCCTACCATTTTTGATTGATTATTCTTGAGTATTTTGTGGCAAAATCCTCCAACATCCCCCTGTAGGGGGACACGCCCGACCTAAATTTCGCGCTCGACTCTAACCCACGTGGATCTTGGGAAGACCAAGCATGTACCGATGCCGCTCCCACCTGGACCTCTCCCGGAGGTGCGCTCCGACCAGAATTCCGAGGCGAATCCAGCGGTAGCGACGAGGGCCTCCCGGGAGGCCCGGAAAGGGGAAAACGGGCGACGGGTCGATGATTCTAACCCACGTCAAAAAAACATAAGAAACAAAAACAAAAAAAACAAAAACAAAAAAACTTGGCCTCTGCAGGCTGATGCCAGGCGGCGAAGCACGACTTGGGGCGGGCCGGCGGGCGGCGGGCGGCCGGGCGCGCGGGAGGCCAGCACGGGCCCTGGCGCGCTGCCCGGCGCGCTGCCCCCGTGGTGGATCACGCACGGCGTCCACCCCGCCAAGGAGAAGGACCCCAGAGGAGGCAAGGGTACCCATGCCGCTCCCCCCCATCCCCCATCGCCCCCATCCCTCCCCTTCCCTCCTCCCCGCCCCATCCCTCCCCTGTCCCCCCCCCCCCCCCCAGTCCCTCATCTTCCCTCTCCCTTCCCCTCCCTCTCCCTTCCCCTCCCTCCCCTCCCTCGGCGGAGGAGAAGGTACCCATGCCGCCTCCCCTGCCGCGTTTTGCCCTTGTTTGGCCTCCTGGAAGGCCCTCGTCGCCACCGCTGGATTCGCCTCGAAATCCAGGTCAGGACGCACCCCAGGAGACATCCTCAGGGAGTAGCGGTATGGGTATACCTGTCTGTTTTCCCAGGACCGGTCGCCAGGCATGTCGACGGCGAAGTCCGAACCCGACCTTCGCCGATCAAATATTCAGGTAGTTCCATGGGCGGCAGGGCTAATGTTCGAACTTCGTCGAACACGTGGCTAGTTCCGAGCCATACCCCCGCCCCCCATCGATTCAAGAGAATCGATGGTTGGCGGGGGTAGGGTTCGGATGTCGCCACACAACATGGATTCCCATCGATTGCTCGACGAGGCCGCCGCTCAAAACTAGCTTGGGCACATCCAAAGCGGCCACACCCAAAGCGACCGTGCCCCAAACGACACCTCTCACCTCTTGCAGGCGTGCTTGGAAGCATCAGCATCTATGATGTCAACGTGCACATCTGACGCACGCCCAGCGGCCCTACACGCCCGCCACGCGCACGCGGGCCCGCCCCATTTGGCCCCCGAGAGTCTTAGAAAGGATCCGAGGGAGCCCGGCCCCTGACCTTCTGACCTTTGTCGGGCCGGGCGAAAGGGGGGGACTGGGAAAGGGGGGGGTTACGAAATTTGCTGCATGCAGCTTGTGTCGGCCTCACCGAGGGGCCCATTCCTCGATACATAGCCACCTCCGGCGCCGGGAGGCGCCGGGAAAATCAGCTACGTAAGCTGATTCTGAAACCCCCCCTTTGCTATCCCCCCCTTTCGCCCGACCCGACTTTGGCGGCGCATGCGGGGGGGTGCTCGAGGGGTGCGGCCTTCTGAGGAGGCCGGAGGTTTCTTGGATGCCCGCCTGGCTTTTGATGCTTAAAAAGCTTCAGAGGCTCCTTGCCATCCTGGCTTCAAGTCTCATGGCTTCTATGAAGCCTCACGGGCCTTCTGGGAAGAAGGCCCCTGCTCGCTGAGAAGCCCCACGCCTTCGCTGAAGGCCACCACCTCGCGTCAATCCCTTGAGTGCGACTCCGAAGCGTGTTGAAGCAAGCAAGGCGGCGTTTGTTGCCTGCCTCTGGGCGGGCTCTCGCGGGGCCCCAGGACCATCAAGATGATGAGAAGCCGGACCTGTGGGAGAGGTTCGGGACCTCTGGGAACACCCGCGTTGAAGACACCAAGATGTCGGACTTCTCGGCCCCCCGCCCCGCGGTCCCTGGACCCGTCTCCACCAACACCCCTTCTCCATCATGCCAAGCAGCGTCCGCCCCGCCGCGGTCTCTGCCCTGCACGCTCGAGTCACACTCTTGGCCCTGGCTCCTCCGCCTCATCCTTGCAAGTGAGACGCAGCAGCTCGCGCTGCATGAGGATGGCCGCTCCTGCATCCGATGGTGGGGGCCCGTATCTTTTGCCCAGAAAGTGACGTGGTTGAACTCTCCGCGTTTCCTTTCAAGTACCGTGGACGATGTCCGGTGTCTGGTGCGTCCCCTTTTTCTGGCCGCAGGTGCACATTTCTGGGGGATTGGTTCAGAAGGCCCCTTCGTGCAAACATCATGCTGGGATGAGGATGCAGTTTTGTGTTCCATGCAGGCATTATGCCAGTTCAGCAGCTATATAAGTTGGCCTAGGCGCGTCGGCACGTTATGACGGTAGCTGCAAATGAGGTTGATGTCGTATTTCGCAGCTTCTTCCGCCCAAGGTTTACAGCAAAGCTGAGCTCTTTAAGCGAAAGCTGGGTAAGTCCGCTTAAGCTGTTTCCGGGGTCTCTGCATCGTAACCGACATGGTCGTGTTAGCCGGCCGCTCTGCGGTTGATCGGGAGTTTCTGTATATAGAAGAAGGTGCGTGCGCTTGTTGGCGAGGGTGAGGATGAGGAGTTTCTGTATATAGAAGAAGGTGCGTGCGCTTGTTGGCTCCTCCTCCTCCTCCTCCTCCTCCTCCTCCTCCGCCTCCTCCTCCTCCTCCTCCTCCTCCTCCTCCTCCTCCTCCTCCTCCTCCAGTCTGTCCTCCTTCACCCCACAGCTCCATCATCTCTCCTCCTCCTCCTCCTCCTCCTCCTCCTCCTCCTCCTCCTCCTCCTCCTCATTCCTTCTCTGGGCACCTCCCCCGGGGCGCGGATCCACCGGATCTGTCCGGATCTGTCCGGAAACGGTGCCGGAGGCCGCTCTGGGCTCCTCTGGGCACCTCCCCCGGGGCCGGTTTTGTGAGGATGTCTCAAGCGAGGGCGCCGGTTTGGGATTCGTCGGCGGATCCACCGGATCTGTCCGGAAACGGTGCCGGAGGCCGCTCTGGGCTCCTCTGGGCACCTCCCCCGGGGCCGGTTTTGTGAGGATGTCTCAAGCGAGGGCGCCGGTTTGGGATTCGTCGGCGGATCCAGCGGATCCACCGGATCTGTCCGGAAACGGTGCCGGAGGCCGCTCTGGGCTCCTCTGGGCACCTCCCCCGGGGCCGGTTTTGTGAGGATGTCTCAAGCGAGGGCGCCGGTTTGGGATTCGTCACCGGATCCAGCGGATCCAGCGGATCCACCGGATCTGTCCGGAAACGGTGCCGGAGGCCGCTCTGGGCTCCTCTGGGCACCTCCCCCGGGGCCGGTTTTGTGAGGATGTCTCAGCGAGGGCGCCGGTTTGGGATTCGTCACCGGGATCTGTCCGGAAACGGTGCCGGAGGCCGCTCTGGGCTCCTCTGGGCACTCCCCACGGGCCGGTTTTGTGAGGATGTCTCAAGCGGGGCGCCATTCGTCGGCGGATCCCCAGTCCGGAAACGGTGCCGGAGGCCGCTCTGGGCTCCTCTGGGCACCTCCCCCGGGGCCGGTTTTGTGAGGATGTCTCAAGCGAGGGCGCCGGTTTGGGATTCGTCACCGGATCCACCGGATCTGTCCGGAAACGGTGCCGGAGGCCGCTCTGGGCTCCTCTGGGCACCTCCCCCGGGGCCGGTTTTGTGAGGATGTCTCAAGCGAGGGCGCCCGGTTTGGGATTCGTCGGCGGATCCACCGGATCTGTCCGGAAACGGTGCCGGAGGCCGCTCTGGGCTCCTCTGGGCACCTCCCCCGGGGCCGGTTTTGTGAGGATGTCTCAAGCGAGGGCGCCGGTTTGGGATTCGTCACCGGATCCAGCGGATCCAGCGGATCTGTCCGGAAACGGTGCCGGAGGCCGCTCTGGGCTCCTCTGGGCACCTCCCCCGGGGCCGGTTTTGTGAGGATGTCTCAAGCGAGGGCGCCGGTTTGGGATTCGTCACCGGATCCAGCGGATCTGTCCGGAAACGGTGCCGGATCGCTCTGGGCTCCTCTGGGCACCTCCCCCGGGGCCGGTTTTGTGAGGATGTCTCAAGCGAGGGCGCCGGTTTGGGATTCGTCACCGGATCCACCGGATCTGTCCGGAAACGGTGCCGGAGGCCGCTCTGGGCTCCTCTGGGCACCTCCCCCGGGGCCGGTTTTGTGAGGATGTCTCAAGCGAGGGCGCCGGTTTGGGATTCGTCGGCGGATCCACCGGATCTGTCCGGTAACGGTGCCGGAGGCCGCTCTGGGCTCCTCTGGGCACCGCCCCCGGGGCCGGTTTTGTGAGGATGTCTCAAGCGAGGGCGCCGGTTTGGGATTCGTCACCGGATCCACCGGATCTGTCCGGAAACGGTGCCGGAGGCCGCTCTGGGCTCTTCTGGGCACCGCGCCGGGGGTGAGGATGACGGTAGTTCTACAGAAACTCCCTTAAATTACCCGTATTCCACCATTCCTCCGTCCTCAAGTCTAATCAAAACGGATCCCTCGACAATTTCTGGACCCATCCTGGCCTATCCTTCTTCCTGGAGTTATGTCTGACGGCCTCAGGGCCGGAAACGGTTCCCCAAAGTCCGAAATTGAGAAGAACCTTTGCCGCGATTTCTTCGATCATCGATGTTCTTCCTGCCTCCTCCTCCTCCTCCGTAGCCGTTGTGGCGCTGGATTTCGACGGAAGAATTATGAGGATCCAGCCGCGTCGACGAGATGCCTCCCTCCTGGAGGCTCAAAAGGGTGGGAACATCTGAAGGGGTTCGCCCACTGCCCCATGCACCCCCATTAGATTGTTTGCGTGGTCACGGTTGATCGGTGGATTCGCTCGTGTTCTTGTCGGTTGGTTGGCTGGCACCTCGGCTGATTGACTTTCCGTTTAACTTGATGGTTGACATTTGATTTGGTTGTTGGCTGGCTGGTTGCGCGCGCCTGTAGTGACCAAGCAGGGATGGTGGCCTCAGGAGCGCGCTTCCCTTGTCATGTGCAGGGGTTCGTGGCTTCGGCAGCGCACCTCCAGCCATGCTCGAGGACTCGTGGCCTCGGGCCCACAAGGAACTCTCAGTGATCGTCAAGGGTGCCGAACATTGCCCCCCGAACACATGTCCCAACACAGAATTCTCGACGATCCGCGTATCCCCACCAGCTATTATCTGGCATTGCGCCTTTTCTTCCTGCCGAATTTGTCCTGAGCAGTGTCTGCTCTTGCTGGTCCGGTCGGCTGTTGTTAGGACGGTCGGTCCCTCAGGCTTGCTGCCCTGTTCTGCATGTTGCACGTGCGTGGGTTGGCGCCCTCTTGGCGGCTTCCTCCAGTCGTGGCCTGGCCTTCACTAGTTATCTGGCATTGCGCCCCGCTGCCTTTTGACACGCCCTCTGGACTTTTCCTTGCGGGCCGCCGAACAAAAAAGTATCCCCACCAGCCCCGTCGGCAAGGTTTTTTCGGGCCCTGCCCCGCTTCCTGGCACCACCTCGCGCAGCCCGGCAGCTTAGGCAGTTTAAGCGGCTTAGGTTCGGCCGTC